CTTTTTAGTCTCATCTTTCACAATCTCTCTCTTCTATCTCATGTTCATATATTCAACAAAATAACCCACATTACGACGCATTACATCAACTTATTTCACTCGTGTTTATACAAGATCCAGTACAAGAAATATGTTTTATATATTGCTATTCCCATATATTTCTCAAATGAAATCGAACAAAGAAAACATAAGTACGAATCGTCTGCTTTCTGTAATAATTTAAGGAACAGTCAAAGCTTCCGCGCTTCACGCTAAAGGGGGAAACTGAATTCAGATAAATAGAGCTTGATAAGAGTCGAAAACGGTGCAATGAATCGTCTTCTTTCTATAATAATTAAATCAAACGTCTAAGCTTTTCGCGCTTCGCGCTGGAAGGGGAAACTGAATTCAGACACGGATTAAGAGTCGAAAACGGTACACGAATCGTCTGCTTTCACTAATGATTTAAAGAACCGTCAAAGCTTCCGCACTTCGCGCTAAAGGGGGAAACTGAATTCAGACAAAGAGGGCTTATTAAGAGTCAAAAACGGTACAACGAATTGTCTGCTTTCTCTAATAATTTAAGGAAACGTCAAAGCTTCCGCGCTTCGCGCAAGGGGGGAACTGAATTTAGACAAGGATTAAGAGTCGAAAACGGTACAATGAATCGTCCGCTTTCTCTAATAATTTAAGGGACCGTCAAAGCTTCCGCGCTTCGCGCTAAAAGGAAAAACTGAATTCATATAAAGAGGGCTTATTAAGAGTCAAAAACGGTACAACGAATTGTCTGCTTTCTCTAATAATTTAAGGAAACGTCAAAGCTTCCGCGCTTCGCGCAAGGGGGGGGGGGAAAACTGAATTTAGACAAGGATTAAGAGTCGAAAACTGTACAACGAATCGTCCTCTTTCTCTAATAATTTAAGGAACCTTCAAAGCCTCCGCGCTTCGCGCTAAAGGGAAAAACTGAATTCATATAAAGAGGGCTTATTAAGAGTCAAAAACGGTATAACGAATTGTCTGCTTTCTCTAATAATTTAAGGAAACGTCAAAGCTTCCGCGCTTTGCGCTAAAGGGGGAAACTGAATTAGGACTATTAGGGCTTATTAAGAGTCGAAAACGGTACAACGAATTGTCTGCTTTCTCTAATAATTTAATGAAACGTCAAAACTTCCGCGCTTCGCGCGGGAGGGGGAAACTTTATTCACACAAGGATTAAGACTCGAGCACGGTTCAACGAATCGTCTACTTTTTCTAATAATTTAATGAAACGTCAAAACTTGAACTGAATTCAGATAAGGATTAAGAGTCGAGCACTGTTCAACGAATTGTCTACATTCTCTTATAATTTATGAAACGTCAAAGCTTCCGCGCTTCGCGCGGGAGGGAGAAACTGAATTCAGACAATTATTAACACCGAGAACGGTGCAGCAAATCGTTTACTTTTTATAATAATTTAATGAAACGTCAAAGCTCTCGCGCTTTGGGGAGGGGGGGGGGGAACTTCATTCAGACAAGGATTAACAATTGAGATCGGTACAATAAATCGTCTTCTTTTCCTAATATTTTAAGGAAACGTCTAAGTTTTGTCGGTAATCGTTAGCCTCTACACCCCCCCCCCAACTGAAAAAGGTCTAGCGACGCCCCTGCAACCAGTGTATAATTCAATGCTGACTCCGTACGTGCTGCTTTTGTTTCATTAGAAATCCAAAATTTAAATGTTTAATCTTAGAGACTAGATTCTATTCAAATTAAACCATACTAATCGAGTTTGAATCCAGTAAATCAAGACATCTTTCAGCTTCACTGTAAAGTGTGGATTTCCTGAATGAGTTTAACCACTTCAATCTTCACTGATCATAATCCGCCAACTTCCGAGTTGCGATGGGTAGTCATTTAGCTCCTTCGTGAAACTTAATCTATTTTTTGTTGTTGAATATTTATTCGTATAGAAGAACATTCATTATCCTGGATTAAAACTGTTTGCACTAACAGCTTCGGAAAACTTTGGAAACATCAAGCCTTGTAGGAAAAAGGAACGAGCATAATTATGAAGATATCAAAAGCAACGAAAACAAAATTATTTTACAACAGACAGTCGGAAAGTAGAACATGCAGAATATGAAGTGTAAACGTATTACACTTTATAGTAATCATGGTGAAAGCTTGACATTTCGTTCATTATACTGAAACAAGCAAATCAAAACATCGATATGATGACAATTAAGACATTGCGGATTTCGCTTCCACAATACTTTCAAAATAGAAAACACGATTGATACAAATAAATGCAATATACAAAAAAAAGCATACTGCATATGATGATTATAAATCATTTTTGGCCCCGTATAACAACCGACAAAAAATGAATACATTAAAAACCTATATTAGATTAAACAGGTTAAACACCTTGGTGTTAGTAAAGTACTAGATTTACAAACATTGTATCCATGTTCTGTATCACACTTCTGTTCTTGGTAAACCTTGTCTCAGCCTTTATTGTACATGACTTGTGAGCGATACAAATATCCATGGTGAATGACATTGGACAAAATAAATACATTGAATTGAATTGAATGAATTGAATTATTAAAAAAAAAACATTTTTCCTTTAAAATACTCAGATCATTATTAGTATTTTTGCGTAAAGTATAACCTCTTCCTTCTGAAAAAATGTAATCAACGGAATCAAATGGAAAAGACTTATATTTCGCAATGGACCTTTCTTCCATATTTCGTATTTTTGCGAACTTTTGCCACAGTTTGGGTCATGTGGGTGAAACCGTCCGACGCAGGTGCTCAGCCTGCCGACTTTGTGAATGACTAAAGTCGCCTGCCAATATAATGGGTGGACTTTTGATCAATTAAATCTAATTGAATTAACTATTTCGAGACACGATCTCGGCCTATAACTATTACCCAGCAAGGTATAATGCCCCCACCCCGAAAATTGCTACCTTGGAAAGGTATATCTCGAATAGTTATTTCCATAGTCAAATATCCCATTGGTAAATGGGCTGAGGGGAAATTAAAGTGCGGGTTTATAGAAAATCACAAATATGGCAAATATTACTAGAAACTGGTAAGCTAACAGATGACCATCATGCAAGTTTTAGGTCAACTACATATCGGGTGATTAATAAAATTTACAAATAAAACAACCTCCATAGCATCTGGGATATGCGAGAGATTCGCCGAAAAAATAACGATGTTTTAATGCCGTCACAATATGAACCAACCCTGCCCAAGCAGACGACATCCCATAAAGAATGAACATAATTGCAATGCTTTTATTTCTTAAATTATAATGAGTTTAGTGTATATAAATGTGATGGAATTTTACACCATTCAAAAAGGGATATGACCCCCATTCTGATAACTAAATTCTTTTGTTTGAAAATACTCAGGATAGGGGTTAATGAACAATCAAAGAAACCACATTTGATTTAGCATGAACGTCATTTGTTTCCTCTTGAAACGCCGAACATGCGGCGGTGTATGCAGCTGCAAATACAATGGCGTCTTATTTTGTTTACAAGCGACGGATTTCCTTTCTTTTATCATTTCATTTTTCATCAAAATAATACCAAGTACGGGGTTTAGAGTGAGGCAATAGATTACACATTTCGTCTGAGGGTATTGAAGTAACAGAAATAACTGAAGAAAAGATGACAAAACAGGCACTGAAATTGTGTGAGATGTCATGGAACATCGTCTGCTTGTTCACATCATGTTCAACATGTGACGTCATATCTCAGCAGCGACCGGGGAGCCTTTTCAGGTGCTATGTCGGGACTGTATCTAAGTGTTTTGTAAATGTTAATAATCATTACTTCGAATGTTTCCAAGCATTTGCGTTTGATAATCTTGGCCAATCAAAGTGTCACCTTTGCAATAATGACATTAAAGTTAGTTTTTTTTAAATCAATGAACCTTATCTTTAAGGATTCTTTTTTTTGTGGATGGTGGGGGTGGGGCTGTTCGGTGTATTATATCGGGGTAATTGTCCTACGCTTTCAATATCACTTTTTAATTTCATATTTGGATGGCAATAGTAGCTATGGGCTATATACACGGATAATGGCGTTTTGTATTTGAATATGTTAATCTTCTTTTGTAAAGTAATAATGTTTAATTTGAATTTTAGTAGGTAGACCAATAGTATCTTCATACAGTCATGTATTACAGGTGGGTATATCGAGTTTGATTGTTTTATTGTTCGTAATAGAAAGAGAACATGCTAACTGATTGATTGATCACAATTATCTCAATCGGAAGGATTTGAACGGTACTCTTTTTCTCCCTCTATCTCGTCTCTTGTCTCTCTCTCTGTCTGTCTCTCTCTCTCTCTCTCTGTCTCTGTCTCTCTCTGTCTCTGTCTCTGTCTCTCTCTCTCTCTCTATCTATCTCCCTCCTTCTTTGCCAAAAGAGGATTGAAGCCTATTATGGTACATTTGAAAGGGGTCTGCTCGCTATTTATAAGGATCGCTATTTATAAGGATCGCTATTCATTTTGTCACGCGTTATGGATAGCGGTCATTATGAATAGCGGTCCTTACGGATAGCGAGCTTGACCCATTTGAAATAAGAGCTTTGAAACAATGGAATATATTGCATCAAACAAAGATCGTTCTGGGGACGTTCCCAAAACTTCCTGAGGATGTTTGAATGTTTTAAATTGGGGCATAAACTCATTTGCCTTTCTGCTCATTAGCGTTTTGCATAAATTGATGCGACACAGTTCTCTCGAAATCTTCAAACACAGTTAATTACAAAATCAATCAATCATTCAATCGATCGACCCATCAATTAATCACTCAATCATTCAATCAGTCATTCATTCATTCAATCAATCAATCAATCAATACATAAATATATTGATCTATATAATTGCACTCAATCGAACAAACCTCCTTTTTTGTCATCAGAAAATATAAATTCACATTATATTATTTTTTCTTCATCTCTCCAAAATAGATTTACCGCTAAACTGAACAAAAGATATGCATTCATTTACAGGAATGTCGAGTTATCGTATTAACTTTATTCATTTAAATAAAAACATGAGTTACAAACACATTTTGCCAACTTTCAAAGTGAGGTATACAGGATTCTTTGTTTGTTCACATGTTTCTATTGCAATAACGGAAAGCTTTCTGAAATAGAATACTTTTATTTAATATCATTCTATGGCAAAAAATTGAAATAAGCAAGCTCAACATTATTATTGATAATAATATTCTCAAACAGCTAGTAAGTGAATGGGGTGGTACATGTTTTATTCAATTAAAATGTGGTCAATTTTAATTGAATCTCATATGGTTATTATGTATTATTTACACACTCGAATTGGAAAAACATGTTCAATTACATAAAAACAAACAATAAATATATAAATAGATCGAATATCAAGACCTAATCATCTGGTTACCGATGCATGATCCATGGCCTACTCAAATATGCTCACATCCTCACGCTGGTAAAGAGAATACAAAGTTAGGCGAACGCACCGAGTGTCAAATCGTCTGTGCAGAAGAAAGGAGAAAAAAAAAGTATTATTACTTACAAGGTAAAAAAAAAAAAACGGCAAAGTGTATGCAATACTCTGTAACCCTTTTCCCCCAGAATATTACCCTGTCTCATATACCACTTCCCCCTTTCTCCCAGTCCTAACATGAATCATCTACATCATTTCAACAACGTTTATAAAGAATAGTAGGAGAAAATTATTTGAAAACGCTACATACCGTTATAAACTCCTTCGTTGCATCCAAAGCCAGTGCAGCCCCTTGCAGCACCATACTGTGTGCATCGTCCAGCGGCGTCACGCTGCACGCATCCGGTAGACGTTTGAGAACCACTGGTACCATGCTGAGTACAACGTCCGCTGGCATCACGCTGGGTACACCCTCCTGTAGGTGCATTTTGGACACAACGTCCGCTAGCATCACGCTGGGTACACCCTCCTGTAGGTGCGTTTTGGACACATCGTCCGCTAGCATCACGCTGGGCACATCCACCTGTAGGTGCATTTTGGACACAACGTCCGCTAGCATCACGCTGGGCACATCCACCTGTTGGAGCATACTGGGCACAACGGCCACTGGCATCGCGTTGAGAGCAGGTTCCCTCATCAGTTGGATAGACTCCCGGGGCACGTGGGTATGCAGGGGCTGCTGGAGCATATGGAGAGCCTTGGTGGTAAGAGTCATCATTGCCATACCCTGGAGAAGATGGAGCGTAAGGTCCGGATGGCGGAGCATTTGGGGTGTAAGGGGCATGTGGGGAATATGGAACCTCAGGAACCTGTGGTGCATATGGCGTCTGTGGGGCATATGGAGCCTGTGGTGCATATGGCGTTTGTGGGGCACTAGGAGCCTGGGGTGCATATGGCGTTTGTGGGGCACTAGGAGCCTGGGGTGCATATGGCGTTTGTGGGGCACTAGGAGCCTGTGGTGCATATGGCGTTTGTGGGGCACGTGGAGCCTGGGGTGCATATGGCGTTTGTGGGGCACGTGGAGCCTGAGGTGTATATGGCGTTTGTGGGGCCTGCGGGACACGGGGGGCAGGTGGGGCGTATGGTGTTTGTGGGGGTAGTGGGGCGCTCGGAGCATACGGGGCACCAGGAGCGGTAGGAGGAGCTGGTGCCCGAGGAATAAGTGGAGGCGCTACAACAGGAGCTCTTGGAGCAGGGAACGGAACACGGGGAACGGCAGGTGAGCCAAATGTTGGAGCACGTGGACGTGATGGGGAAGAAACTCCTGGAAAGCCTGGTATACCAGCAGAAGTGCCTGGTACAACGACACCACCAGTTGATGCTTCACTTTCTGTGTTCCCATCTGTCCCGTCAGTACCACCAACAACTATACTAGTGCCATATTCCTCCTCACTGCTGTCCTCATCACTACCATATTCGTATTCTCCATCAGCTGCGTTTTCATATTCAGTAGTGGTAACATCCACATCCGGAACGGGTGCATTGGCGGGGGCAACAGGAAATACGACATTTAATCCATTCGTGACTCCATCTGTTCCATCTGTACCATCGGTTCCGTCGGTAGTGTCACCGCCGGTACTTTCATATTCGTACTCCTCGCTGCTGCCACTGTCGCTATTGCCTCCATCTGCTGAGTTATCCAGATCGTATTCGGTGACCGTTACATCGACATCAGCGTCGACACCTGGTACAGGGGCAGCAGGTGCAAATCCAGGGGCCCGAGGAAGCGGAGCACGTGGTGGTACAACAGGAGCTCGGGCAGGGGGAAGAGGAGCACGTGGAGGTACAACGGGAGCTCGGGCAGGGGGAAGGGGAGCACGTGGTACGACAGGAACCCTTGGAGCATATGGCGCTCTGGGTGCAGCAGGAACAGGCGGAGCATAAGGTGCTCTTGGTGCTACAGGAACACGTGGAGCATATGGTGCTCTTGGTGCGGGACGACTGGGAGCTCGTGGTACTTGGAAAGTAGTTTTATGACATGATCCCTTATGATTCACGGAGATGGAAACTCCTGACCTCGAAGAATCGTCCTCGACATCGCATTCGTTGTGGTACGTTCGTCCATTCGAACCACAAACCGTTCCGGAACTGCTGTCACAAGAATCCCTTCGAGCTGTGAAGAAGAAAAAAAATTGAGTAATTCATTATTATATTAAAGACGAATTATCAAACTGTAAATAGCGGGTTGAACTGTATTTCGATAGTGAAATATGCTTTAATTAGCTTATTACATTGTATAGATAATACCAAATTACATGTTTCAAAACTTCAAAGTGACTTTAGAAAGATGTTATATTTGACAAAGATTTATAAATTCAGAATCAATCAAATAAAAAAAGAAAGAAGAGTGAAACAATTTTAAGAGCAATCTTTTCATAGATATAACAAATAACGTAATGTTATGCCTTTGTTTTCTGGTTAAGATTAGCATGATTAAAATTCTTCAAAGCGTTGGTAAATATGAGTATTTCTATCATACAAATTCCTGCGAGTAATGCTGTCACTTTTGCCACAACTTTCAAGATACAGGCATAAGAAAGAAGTAACATTATACTAGTAGACTGTTGATCACTTACCCCTTGGCATTGCCTGTGTGAGGATAGCCAGTGACAGGAGACATATTGCTGATGTTATCAGCTTCATGGCGATATACAAGACCTGTTATAAAGAGTTTATGTAACATTGGTGTTTGAAGGTGTGTTCTCCATGAAGAAAATTCCGTCCTAAAAAGAGTGATAGCAAACTGCATCTAGTGCAGACCATGCATGTTGCATTATACGACATCAATGGTATAATAGGGTATAATAAATAAATCTTCTAACATTTGTTATTGAATGAAAAATTAAATCAGAAATCTATTTGTTATCTTTGATTTTCATCATTTTACATTACGAGCAAAATAACGACGATATGAGAAAGGAATATATAATAACTGTCTGGTAGGCTACAAACTAAATTTCAAAATAATTAAGGTCTTATGTTATAAGCTGGAAGTTATGTTTTACGTACCTTTGTTTAAAATCCAATATAAAAAGAGACTTCAGTTCCAATCTGGCGAAGTAATTTCAGTATCTTGAAAATGTTGAATGCTTTCTTGAGATGCAGAAGCTCTCGAATGATGCTATCCCTCGAACAAGTCCAATATTTATACTTATTGTGAAGCCGTATTATTATCTTCAAAAAATGTGCAGAGTCAGGGTGAAAGACATATTTCTTTCGATTAAATTCAAAGTAAAGCTCGTGATCGGATGATATCGTAACCCTGAATGACTTCACTAGCGCCAATATTACGGATGTTGCGATTAGCTTTGTTTTGTTAATCTAGCGAAGATAGAGACATCTCTCGCCTCAATTGCTAAAATATTTCCTGACGATCATGGTCAGTTTCATTATATGTTTTTTTTTTCTGTGTAAAAATTGTTGTACCCTGTTTATCCCCTTACCCCGAATGACTAATACAGGTCTTTCATTGGCCCTTATTGATAGGCATCGGATAAGTATTATTGAGCAAGCCTGCTGAACGGATAGACACATTAATCTCATTGAGCATGAGTAAACACAAATATTGGTTTACTTCAAGATTGTTGGAAGGAAGACTGGCTACAATACGTTGATAAGATCACACCAGTCTCGAATTCTCGAGGTTTCTTGCACTGTTGAAGTCTGTATCCCCCCAAACATATGTGATATGAATGATTACAGACTATGATTATGATTATTACGACAATGCTTCAGTTATGAAATGTGTTTTAAGCAATAACCTGCGCATCACAATACAAATAATGAGCTAAAAAGGTTCGGCTTATAATAAGGTGTGATACACGTTATGTTTTTGTTTCGTTATTTTTAAACAACTACAAAAGGACGAGAGTGTGATCATAAATGAAGAAGAAGAAAAAGAGAGAAGGGATATAAAAAGGAATAAATATAAACTCATCGGTATGTTAGAGTGGACAGCGAAAAGTATCGGAGGCGCGGGAGGGGGGGGGGTATTGTACATATTCATAGCATTCATAGCATCGTGGTGACAGTGTATTCCTGTTATCTGATTTGTTCGAACAGTAGCGAGGCCCTCGTATTTTGTGTATCCTTAGAGCTTTGCCGTTAGCTTAAGCCGATGGGATCTACTAGGATAGATATCGTACTTCAAGGATTGATCGTTAATGCTATAGATTTCTAGACGTTGATTGATGAGATATGCACGTTCAAATGTTGACTTAAAATTCGCTGTGCGATTGCAGTTTCAATAATCTTTAACTATCCAAAACGAAAAGGATCGATTTAGGGAATCGACCATTAAACTATAACGACTCAGTGAGAACATTTATTAATTTACATCTTCAGTAACCATTTTTTGGCGTAGAAAAGCTCAACATCTTATACTCCATGTGTTTATTCCTCAAACAAGACGTTATGTTGATGACACTTTTTGCAAAAAATCACTCTTTCTCTTCAATAGGGCCTGACAAACTAGGCACCGAAGACGTTAGACACAAACAAAAAATGCAAGATAATTATTTTGATGTTTGTTGTTTTAATATGTACTTTAGGCTTGTTGGAATCGGACGCATTTGGGTATCCTTAAATTGGTTGGCAAAATAAACGCGAACAGGGCATGCATGTGCATGTGTGATGAGCTCCTAAGGCTGTGATAACACATCGATGTTTTAGGTTTGACATAGTCGCATACTACAAAGCTATTTAGATTAATAACTTAAGATGACGGCGCATTATATTTATCACATTCATGCCATTCAAGAGAAAAATATAGGTTTTTTTCCGGGATTTTTTCTTTTACTTTATCTTCTCTTTCTTTCTCAACTCCTCTTTTCTCTCAATATCTGAATCTTGTTCTTCTCCTTCTTTTCCACTATCTCTCTTCCAATATCAGAAGCTCTCTTTCTCTCTCTCTCTCTCTCTCCTCCTCCTCCTCCTCCTACTTCATCCTTCCTCTCTTTCCGCTCTCCCCTTTCTCTCTCTCCTCCTCTTGCTCCTTCCTCCTCCCCTTCTCTCTCTCTCTCTCTCTCTATTTCATTGTCAATCGTCATATCAATACACTTTTAATTTCTCCACCTCTTATGTTGCCTAATTGCATAACCGTAAGAAATATTCTCTTTAAAAATCATCTATCCCACATAATGAGTTATGTACGATTAATATTCTTCAGTCTCTCATGTTTTGAATAATATTCCTTATGCCCCTCCTTTTATATAAGAATCTTAGATCTGGCTTGACCTAATTTTGAAGAAAAAAATGGTCGTGCAGTGGATTGACTGTGTGGGCAAGCAAAATCCAAGAAACTGACGAAAACTTGGTAATTGTTAAATTCATTTTAACATATGTCACCATGTGACACGCGATACGAACCACGTGCTTGATTTCTTGTCTTTCTTTCTATTTATCGTGCTTAAAATTCGGTTTAGATTGTTTTTATGCTTTGAATAAAAAATACTGAAATCAATAAAAGATAAGCCATACAATACAATGAATGTCAAGTTAAAAAACACATTTATTTGAAATCAAAGAAAACAAAATGAGGTACAAAACAAACACAGCAAAATCATACAAATAAATATAAATAATCAAGAACATGAGCAGGAAAATGATTTGATATGTTGAAAGAAATAAAATAAGACCGTAGTGTTAGACGAAATTAATTTTTCGAAAACATAACAATTTGGGATGCAAATAGTGCAGTTCACAATATGAGGCAGATAACGCTATATGATTCCGAACATATGAATTTTAGAAGAACCAATCGATTGGTTATGTAGGAGGGGCCTGATTCGAAGAACGTTATTTACTAAATTATAAGTTACATGTAAGTTATCATTATGAGCTTTAGTTTTAGCGGTGTAAAGACGGATATTAATTCTGTTTAGGTCTCTAAAAAATAAATAAATAAGAGAATAAGATAATGGGGCAAGCCTTTCACTTCCTCTATACAAATAGGAATAGCAAGATAAAGTATCTGAGATTGTACATCAATATCACATTCTTGACATTATTTATCACAACAAATATCATTTAGCAGATTAGTCCGTCCTAAATGCCATTTTGTAAACAGAACATTTGTATTCGAAGAGAGGTTGGACAAAGACATATCCAAGATAATCTTGGAATGTCATCAACTGCTCCGTGTAAAAAGGGCCCCGTCACAATATGAGTTACTCACTGAAATTCAATGAAAATTTTGGAAATTGATCGAATCTACCATATAATTAAATTTAAGTAACTAAACTTAGCAATACTGGCCGATTGGGTTAAGATTATCTGAAAAATATATGGTCTCTGTAGAAATCTGTATCTATATTCATGTAAGGCATTCCATTAATATTTAACGTTTTCCAGACACTCCCCCGGAACAAGCTTGACCAGATGGACCATTGTTGTTGCAGCTTCCTCCACTTGGGGCATGGGCCGGCCCTCCTCCTGGCGCTCCTGGCGCTCCTGGCACTCCTGGCGCTCCTGGCGCTCCTGGCGCTCCTGGTGCTCCTGGACCTCCTGGAGCTCTTGGAGCAGACTGACGTGGTCCTGGGGCATAAGGTCGAACAGGGACACCGGGTCTGGTTGGAGCACGTGGAATACCTGGTGCACGTGGAATACCTGGAGCACGTGGATTGCCTGGTGCACGAGGGCCGCCTGGTGCACGAGGGCTGCCTGGAGCACGTGGACCACCTTGAGCTCTAGGAGTGCCAGGACGAGAAGGAGCGCGTGGAAGTCCTCCACGACCACCAGCAGCCCCTGTTCCAGCACCGACTCCACCAACTCCATCAGCTCCATCACCCCCATCACCCCCACCAGCCCCACCGGCGCCGTCACCTCCATCAGCACCATCAGCACCATCTCCACCATCAATACCACCAGAACCGTAATCGTAATATTCTTCACTGCTTCCACTGCTTTCGTCACTGCCGCTTGAACCTTCACTTTCGTAATGTCCGTAGTCAGCACCAGCTTCACCATCATATTCACCGACATCTACTCCATCTCCACCATCACCACCTTCACCTGGGGCAGCCGGTGCGAATCTCGTTCCAGGAACTGCTGGTGCAGCTGGTGCAGCTGGTGCAGGTGCGGCGGGCCTTGGAGCAGCTGGCGCATACACGGGAGGTCTGGGAGCTGCTGGTCTGGGTGCAGCGGGGACAAAAGTCGGAGCACGTGGCATTGGGGGAGCGGGTGCCCGAGGAGCTGGAGCTGGATCAGCTGATTGCTGATCAGAACTACCACCAGCATCATTCCCGTCAGGACCAAATGGAACACCGGCTCCAGGAGGACCAGGTGCGAATCCAGGCATACTTGGGGCATTTGGAGCATAGCTAGGAGGGGACGGAGCATTTGGTTGATATGGGGGTGGCGCCTGGGGAGCCTGTGGATAGTATGGAGGAGGCGCATTAGGTGGATTGCCAGGAGCGTAAGGTACACCGGGTGCATTTGCAGGTGCAATTGGAGCATAAGGCTGTTGAGGTCCAGGAGCATGAGGGGCAGCAGGATAAGGTCCTGGAGCAGGAGCTCTTGGTGGTTGATAACCTGGATGTCCTGGTGTAGGAGCTCTAGCTGGAGGATAACCCGGTGAGTGTCCTGGAGCTGGAGCCCGAGCGGGAGTCCCTCCTGCTCCCCATGATTGACCATCGGAACCACAGGCGGCACCTGGTGTTCCCAAGTCGCATGAATCTCTTGTATCTGTAAGACAAACCACAAATACATTGCTAATGAAATGTATTCGTCTGTAACTCCAAATTCGCTAAAATAAAGCATAAATAAGTTGTGTACTGTCATGGAAATCAAAGTACATATTCTTTCATGGTAAAGAATGCGTTCCCATTTCAACAAACTAAAGTCTGAACGCTCATTGATGGACAAGCAAATGATACGAACAAATACAGAACTAAACTAAACAGAAAACACAAACAAAACAACAACAAAACAAAAAAATTGCTTAGAGATTTTGCGAGAACTTACATCTAGGAGACGCCAATGAGCAAACAGTCAGTGATAATATACACACAAAGACAGCGGTATTCGTCGTCGAAATCCCCATGGTGAATTGATGAATGCCTAAAGAAAAAAAAAACATAATAACAAATATTATAAGTGAGATAAACCAAATCTTTATTCTACTTTTTGAAGTAAATGAAGCTTATGGAAGAGAATATTTTAAGATAACTACCCAAAACACTCTTTTTCTTCAATGGACCGACGAATAAGGCACCGAAGACGTTAGACAGTTAATATCATTTTTTCTTGATAAATACTACATTGTTTCCGTGCCTTGTGTAAGCACCTCTTCATAGACTAGAAAAACATTATACATTATTTTAGTGACATGCACTTAAAAATGACACTGTGAAAACTAGACGTACTTTAAAGATAAAAGAAACGAATTTCCCTCTTGCTTATTCTTTTCTTCGTTCCTCCCGAAATTCGAAGTTTGGAATGATGTCTTTCCCATTCTAGTCCAATGTATTTATACCCTCAGAAATGCCAATTACTGCATGAAATGAACACAAGCTAATTAGTAAACTTAGATATACAAAGAAGATGCAATGAATTTTGAAAAAAGGAAAAATAAAACAAGATCGAGAAAGAAGACAACTGTGTTGAAGCAGAAGCGGACTGTTATGATAATCTATGTTGAGCTCTGAACAGAAGCAACCTCGCTGGCAGGTCCACGGTCAATATCGCAACAGCTTCCTGCAACTTATTTTTAACATCTTGTGGACATCTTGAGTGACTTTATCTTTTCAATGCCGTGAAAATCATGAAAATAGCAAGATATTTTTACAATGCACGTATGATCTACTAATTAATGATCTAAAGTTTTTTCCTTTTAGATCATCATCGCGCAAGGAACAGATGCGCTTCTTTGGTGAGCAAAGTCACAATGGGCCTGTTCAGCATTATATCGTGTTGATGTACATAAATCAAACAATTTTATTCGTCTTATCCTAAAAGCAAGAGGCATACTGTCATAAACACATTCAATTTGAATAGTTAATTATATAATAGCATTACGCTTCTCACTTGATCTTTATAAATTATTATTCATCTTGATATTCATGGTACAGATATTATCAAAAATCATATTTCATTTGCTCATCTGTTGCCTATCGATATGTATTTCATTATTACCAATGATTACAGCACATAAACTTGAATATTACAAGTTTAAATGAATATGTATAGGCTGGGATTATTTTTGAAAATATACATAATAACAGTTTTTATATCGTCGTCTATGAACATGATTAGGTAGTAAAGAACCATGTTTTCCGAAATATGCCTCTTTCGATGAACCAGGACTTAAAGCCGATAATTGATTTCATTTTTTGTTAGTGTAAATAATTTATTATCGGCCGCAACGTAATGCGTAGAGGATCAAAGACATGGATAGAAATGTTTACAAAATATATATGTACCCCAAGAATTCATAAAATTTTTCTAGCATGATTATTGAATCCTCAAACTTCAGAGGTAATAATGACGTATTTAATTTTATAATAAAGCATATGCCGGAAAAAAACATACACACACCGATCGTTTTACTTCAATTCATTACAAATTGTTTTATTAAATTGTCATTAACTTACTTACGTACTATAACAATGTCTAGGGAAATGGCTGAACCCTTTCTCTTTCTCTAACACTTCCTACCCATTTTTATTTCCCTCTCATTCTTTCTCTATCTACAAAATATTTGCTCTTCCTCCAACTTCGATGTTTTTTCATCATCTGCTCTCTCAAATTTCAGTATAAATATCTTTCACCCGAACATTACTGAAATCAGTCAACAACACGTTCAAGCAGCTGATCTAGAAATGTGAAAAACAGAACAAGAAAGCTTTGGTAAGTTGAGAAATACGATATGATCATTTTGAGGAGCTGGGTTGAAGAGTAAAGCGTCTTCGTACATGGCAAGCAAAATGTAGGAAACTTTAATCTTTTCGCTAGGTCTTACGCCAACTGCAGTTCATTACGAGGGTGAAAGCGCTTAGGATGGGATCCCGAGGATGTAAATATAATCGTCGTTTGTCATACCCAGAATTACTAGACAACCAGTCAAATGACTGAGTGGCGATACTGCATCTTGATTGGTTAATGTTGTCAGGCGTCCACATCATAGGCTATACGTGTATGTGTGATATCATGTGACCCTTCTCTTCCGCAGCGTATGTATTTTGATTACTGAGTTTTCCACTCTTCATATTGCAACGCTATAAAAAGATCACTTTATTAAAGTCACAATTTATTCTTGTGTGTGCGGTACTTATTTTCATTCGCGTTCTACACCATTATGACTTGATTTGGCAGTGAAATATGTGTACTTTGGATAATGAGGCATTGAGATGGTCCGATCAGAGACATGCAGATCAGACATAAAGTATTCCTTTTTTACGTTACCATTTATATGACTAACACTATCATGTTTATTTGGATAGTAAAGCCTTTGCTTGTTTGACTCTGCTCGATGAACTGAGATGTTTTAAAAACTGCATCGCATTTCAGGCCTTCCAGTTTTAAAGAAAGAGGGGCAACTCAGCTACCAAATCATCTACGGGGGCCGGTCGAACAACTGGTATGATATCACTGTGATTTGCAGAGCTAATTAGAGCATCGCCACATTTTTAATTAGGGTTCTAAATGGCTATATTAGGCCTCAATCAGCTTTAAGGCACTTTTTAATATGTGTATCTTATCCATTTTTAACCCTTACACAACTACATAAACTTTCTCTCTCTCTCTCTCTCTCCCTCTCTCTCTTCCTCCCTCTCTCTCTCTCTCTCTCTCTAGCTCTCACTCCGTCTCTCTTTTTAAGCTTTCTACCTCTCTCTCTCTCTTCTCCCTCTCTCTTGTTAGCTCTCACTCTCTCCCTCCCTCTCTCTCTCTCTCACTTCTCTTTCTAGTTCTATCTCTCTCTCTCTCTCTCTTGGCCTATTACTCCCCATCATTCTTTTTGTGTATTGTTTAATTTAATAATGCAAGTTATTGATTTTTTTTGTATCAAAGATTCCAATAAACTCTCCTGATCTTGTTAAAGTAATCATTAAAATATAGTTTTAACAGATGCAATTCATGCTCTCGTTTTAGCCGTTAAATCCTTCACCCTCTCTAAACAGACGTTTGGGAGACAAAAGATGGATTACAGCACATTTTAAGTCAGATTGAAATAACGATTTAATTTCACACAATCAACATAAAAAAAGAAAGAAAACAAATGCACATAAATAAAAGTACTAAAACAACAAATTAATGCAACATAAATGAGATAGATAAACAAATATAAATAATATGCAAACAAAATATGAACTCAAAATAACATACAATAAATTATAATAGTAAACATATAATGCGCACATATGCATCCCAATGGCGCCCGACAAGATAATTATGAGAAGATAAATAACAAATGTATATATTAAGACAAACATTATTGAAAAGGATTAAATATATCAAGTATGAGAATTTGCCAATATTATAATTATAACCACTGAGATCATGGTAGGAGAGTTAAAATCACGTAAAAGGAAATAAATATATTAATTTACCAAGTCTAAATTTACAAAATCCATCAGATTGATTAGAAAAGATGCATATCTTTTTTAAAAATATTTACCGATGCCGTCAAGTCCTTTTCAATCTTCAATTTGTAAAAATCCAACCATAATCCCACCGTAGTCTACTTTTTTCACTAAGGGGAATGATATATTATCTATAGTGCAGGGAATCTCTGTCATATTTTAATTTTGATATTAAGAAAATGTATTGACGGTGAACATTAAAAGAATATAACGCTATGTCAACTTACCGAGTTAAATTTTCAGTGCTTAGTTCTTCTACATTTAATGAGTTACCCTATGTTAATGAGTTACTTTATCAATCAAATGTGCATTATTTTCATGCACAGTAATAATAAGACACACTCTTATAGTCGGTGAGGTCCCATAATTCGCTGATAAGGGGCTAGGTTAACCTGATAAGAAAAATAAAAGAAATACGAAGATGGTTATAGCGTATAACTCCAATCGATAAACAGTTTCGACCCGTTAAAAGAGCGTTCCTGTAAACATGTACTCTGTTGAGTGGCAAACTGTGTTTAAAGAAAACGGATATGTTTTCTTCTTTTCAATATGTAACAAAACTAATTCACCCGATCCACAACAATACGATATACATAGTCACCCTATTTCATTGAAGTTGTAAAACATGTCATATTTGCTCCAAAGAATACTTGAGCTATTCATACATTTTTAAAGAATGTTGTACAACTTAACCTAGTTTTTCCTAAAACGAATGTGTATTTTTGGCAGAAACATACCAGATTAAATTCTATTCGAAACGTAGTTGACGCATTACTGCAAAAGCTCTCCATGTTATCTTATGTGCATGCAATGAGAATATAGTGTTGGATACAATATTTTTATTTCAAAATATCGTCTGATGAAAGTCAGAACGACGTTAATTTTTTTAAAAGAGTTACGCCCTTCTGACTTTCAGCATGATAGCTTACCACTTCAAGTCTCTGCTCATTGATTATCTCGATTGTTCACCGAATCTCTAGTCATCTGAAATAAAGGCAATGTAAATGATAAATACAGCATTTCAAGAATATTATTTGAAAACTACCATGACCTACTAAAAGAAAAGTAAATTTTAAAAATAATAAGTAATATTTGCCAAAAAAGAAGGTCGACTAGTAGTTATTACATTTCTTAGTTTCGGTACAAACTATGAAGCTTAACTTTGATTTTCCGCCTACAGGGATATAGATTCTGAACTTCTCAATATAGAGGGATCTACAGTTTCTAGTAACTACTTACTTCAAACTGTGTTAAATTACATGGATAAGTATGCATATTTCAAACTGATACATATGTATCACTTTTGATTGACATAATTCTAAGAATTTATCGGAAAATAATTTGTCCTCCATCTTAATGGCCAAAGTGTTTCTTTTTAAATTAGAATGGTCGTGTTGGATTATACTGTGCTATGACTCCTATTTCTGTCTGCATCATAATTTTGGTGTATTTAAGTAAACTTCGCAAACCGAAATGTGCTTGTATTCAAATAGGTGCCATTAATACAGATGGGCAATCTATTGAAACACCTGAGCAATAAACACATATCTCTTAACCCTAAAAAGGCCGGGCTATTTGAGGTCTTAGTACGGCCGGGGGGCCATTATGCCCCCCCCCCCATAAGATCACGGCCGCGAAGCGGCCGATCTCCGCGAAAATTTGCACGCATGTTAAGTGAAGTGTATAGAATACTATGATCATTTCAATTTTTTGAAAAATTCACTTATTTGCATGTTTATGGTAATTTATGCAAATAAGGTCATACAAATCACATTTTTACCCATAATCATATATTATTCATATTTAAGCATTCTTTTTCACTACATATATTCATTAGACCATTCTAAATAATAATACGAACAAAAAAAGAGCCAGCTTATTCCTTATGTTATCCCTTGTTTTGATAATTTCTTATGTATTTCATTGTTTTTGTTGTTTTATTTCATTTCTAACTACAATTCAACTACTTTGACTCCCAAAACAACCACCTAAACTTTAAACAAGACCCAATAACCCATGTTTGATCTGTTTTCAGGAAAAATGACTTTTCCATATGTTTTGTAAACAAATCACGAAAATGAGCGATTTTCGGGCTGACATGCAAAGACAAAAGGTGACGTGACCTTGTAACCGTAGGTCCGATGTTCAAAAAAATTATTTTAAAAGTTGCGCAAGACTCGAAAGAAAAGTCAACGAGAGGCGGGGCGCCATCCATATGTGTTCCCGAACAATCAGAAAAATCGTGGAGGGGGGGGGGGCATGATGGCCCCCGGCCTTTTTAGGGTTAATGCAATGTATTGATTAATTAAGTTGTTTGTATACGAATCGCGACCTCACCTTGATCACCAGAATTGTTTGGATCGTACAAAGCCTCTTCTGTGCAACCGTAATCGGCAGAAACGCCTTCACTGCATGTCCCAGTGCCAGTGGCTACTCCAGGGGCTACAGGGGCTCCAACGGGGGCATATCCAGGCGCTCCGGCGGGGGCATATCCAGGCGCTCCTCCTGGTGTTCCTCCAGGTGCTCTCGGCAAAGCACGACCACCGCTAGGGGCATATGGTACACTTGGAGCACTGGGCCGACGGCCACCAGCAGGAGCAGAGTATCCAGGACTTGGAGCAAAAGACCCAGGAGCAGCTGCAGGAGGTGGAGCACGGGGACGAGAGGCACCAGCGGCACCAGAGGGTGGAGAGGGAGCACGTGGTCTGCTTGGAGCTCGAGCGCCACCTGGAGCACGAGCGCCGCCTGGAGCACGTGCAACACCTACGCCACCACGTGTAGAGGGAACACCGGACGCTGTACCAGGAACACCAGCAGCTGATGTACCACCACCTTCGCCAGCACCATCAGCACCATCAACACCTTCAACACCATCAGCACCGTCAGCTCCTTCCGTGCCATCAGCACCCTCTGCACCATCAGATCCATCGTAGTCATAGGCCTCCTCACTACTGTCGCTACCATCTCCTTCACCGCTTCCACTTCCAGCGCCAGCAGCCCCGGCGGCTCCATCACCAGCAGCACCAGCCGCACCAGCAGCCGCACCAGCAGCATCCCCAGCGACGAAGCCACCGGTAGCAGGTGCGCCTGGGGCAAAACCGACACCTGGAATCGGAGCACTAGGTGCAAATGACGGACCGGCAGGTCTTGGTGCAGCAGCAGGTCCGGGTCTTGGTGCTGCAGGTCTTGGTGCAGCCGGTCTCGGTGCAGCAGGTCTTGGTGCGGCAGGTCTTGGTGCACTGGCAGGTCTAGTCGGAGCGGCAGGAGAAGGAGCATACCCCGGAGCTGAGGGAGCTGCTGGCGCAGGTGCATATTGTGATGTTGAATCATGGGATCCGGACGATCCTCCAGCTTGGTCGTATTGAGGAGCGGATGGGGCTGCAGCACCAGGTTGATATCCAGGAACCGCTGGTCCTGGAATAGGAGCGTGTGCAGGCGGGGCAGGGGCTACGGGGCCTTGAGCTGGAGCTCTTGGACGTGGAACAGCAGGGACACTAGGAGCTCTAGCTGGAATTTGGCCTCCACCTCCACCAGGAGCTCTAGCTGGAATTTGGCCTCCACCTCCACCAGGAGCTCTAGCTGGAATTTGGCCTCCACCTCCACCGGGAGCGTAGGGTGCAGACTGTGTACCCCCCGATGATGATTGGCAAGATCCGTAGTGAGAGACTGATACGTCTTGTCCAGTTTGAGAGGCTTCTTCCTCTAGCTCACATTCGTTGTTGTATGATTTTCCATTAGAGCCACAGACGTTTCTCGTGTCACTTCCGTCACAAGAGTCCCTAGGAACTGAAAAATATAAATGTACTTAGTACACTTCGTTGAATATCATTTTTAACGTAAAAGTACTAAACAGGGTGATTAAAAACTAAATTGTTTTGTTTGTATTTCTAAACGTCAAAATGATTCCATCATTTTTTTATTGTAAAATTGACAATGCATACCAAGAATGACATGAGAGTTATTATAACAATACAAACATATATCTTGTTAATTTTATTCCGAATCATTAGGCCTGCAAGTTTAAATACATGTACGTGCCCACTACGAAAAAGGCAGTTCCATTTGTGCATCTTTCACTCCCTTTTAGTAAATGAGAAAACAAAGTTTGCATGGTATACTTACGTCTGGGTGCACTCAATGAGACGGCGATGAATGAGAGGAGAAAAACCAGACAAGCTTGATGCTTTAACATTTCCATGATGAACCGATATTTAGATATTACAAATACTAAAATATGATTTTTGCTCAAGTTACTCCTTCTTTGTGAGCTTGCTGAGAGAGAAATGGTACAGAAGCACTGATTGCCTCCAATATTTATACATTTTCTAACCCTGCATGAATTCATGGAATTAATCAACCAACATTAATGAATTTCTCAACCACATCAAGGAAAGAATGTTTGTACTTGAGTTAATCCTAATGTTAATCGGTCTTTGTTAATATCTCCACAGTAGCAACCTCAAAGTAGAGACAATGATTAATATTAAGAATTTCTGTAAGCACATTCTGTGATTTTTATCCCAGATGATCCCCAGAATGTCGTACTTCCAAAGATAAAGGGAACATTTTCGGCAACAAAGACAGAAATGTTATCGGTGATGATGCATAGCTTCCTTCGAAGAAAATGTCTTTTTTCGGAGGGGATGGCTGGGATGTTCAATGGCAGCAGCTGTATTGTGCAAGTTACAGAGCAGTGAAATATAAAAGGCCTAGCTCATCCATGAGTCATAAGTTTGTCATAGAGCGACGGAATTTCTCTCGCGATATCTGTCAAATCTTGAAAGTGTCTATGTAGAGTTTTACGATTATCAATTCTTGTCGTCAGATTTAGACAGTGGCATAGCTAGGACCTTAGGGGAGAGGGAGTAAACTGAAGAGCTGGTTTGCTGAAGATCCGTTTCTTTTTCAGACAAGAAGTCACACTTTACGAATCATGTTAAATGGGCAAAGGGGCAAGGGGCGTTAATCCTTTTCAGTTTGTGAATGAGGTGTTCACTAAAAGGGACAATGCAATAAATCACTCGAAAACTTGACCGAATTTAAGGTATAACCCTCTATTTTTAGATCACAATTGCTATTCATAATGTCAGATATAGCAGTGCTTATTACACAATGAATTTATAGCCATCTTCGAGCGAGTAATATTCTTGTTGTCTGCTATTGATCCAATACTGGTGCATCCCTGGTAAATGCTAGTTCTAATGCATTAGGCCTATCTTCAACATGTCATACGAATGACTGATTGATGTTATGTCTTGTTGCTTCTTTTTACATAAGTCTTTCTTTTGATGAACGATGTATTTTTTTATTGCCCAGACTGTATTATAACTTGGCTTTGTCCGTTGTGAGAAACATGGTTTCTGTGCTTTTACTTACTTTTAGATTTATTTTGCTTCACAACAATTTTTAAAAACAGAAATACGGTAAATTACTTTCTCCCCTATATATTTCTTTGAAGGGGAATTTCGAGGTTATATGAGGGGTTACCCCTATCCTTCTCCCTATAGCTTGCCGGCGAATATCAGTACCCTATATTCTTCAACATGTTCAGAGATTTTAATCCTTTTGTCACAGTAGCAATTCATAAATCGAGGTCGCTAAATCTGTCATAATCAGCATATGATAAACAGCATTATCAATGGCAAGAAGCTGTATCTCCAATATGGAAATTATCAGATTTTCACAATCGAAAATCCCTCTAATGTGAATTTGAATTCGAATGTACCTATTCGAATGTATCTATTCGAATGAATTTTTATGACTTCTTTTTGTGTGTCCGATAAACATTGATGACGTACAAGCTGCGTACGACAACATTTTGTTTGATTAAAAAAGGTACCTACAGTAAGTAAAAATTAGGTCTTTATTGTTGAGTTCTCTATAAAACTTCTACACATAATGAACTAAATAGTTCATATCGGACACATCATACATCATTAATCTGTCGATAGATATTCGTTGTCGACTGTTTCACTTCATGGCGAACCAGTCTACGCTTCAATACATGTATATCAATGGCATTATCCTGGCTTTTATGATAATGTAAAGAATGTGCGAAGTGCTTGGGGTTAATCCGTATGTGGCTTAACCGTGTTACGACGGGGATTACCCTTTTTCAGTAGGGCTACTTACTTTCACTTGAATTGATACAAAGACAATAAGGTGGAAGTTAATGAAGTCCACTAATCCTCGATCCTTTCAAAACGACCTATATCCTGGGTGTTTTGTCTCTGCTTCTACATGCTGAGATAAGATGTCATGTATGGTTTTGTATTAACTTATAAAGATAAACCATTTTTCAAAAATCTAATCCGTTTTTTGGTGTTGAAAACAGAATTTAAATCTCAATATTGTAAAATTAAAAAAACATCTCTCTTTCTGAACAGCGTGTATGAACTATAGTCGCGAGTGCATAGTTAAATGATACATAATACACTGTTGGTAATAATTGGCGAGTGTTTGTTTTGAGTGACTGCTAAAGCATGTGTATGCTACTATGCTCATCAACTAGGGGACCTTCTTCCTTAAGTCATAACTGACAGTAATGAGGATTAATGCCTCACAAAAGGGCACTTATACAGTATAGCTGATCGATACGGTTTTGATCCTAGGGCCTCACAGTTACGAGGACATTGCTTTGCTACTGGATCATGAATGTACGTATATAGCGGGGGCTAGGGTAGGGGGCAGCCCCTACAACTAACACAAAACAAAGAAAATACAATAATCTTTAAATAGTTCATTGCATTTTCCCCCGGTCCCCAACAGGAGAAAATTCTGTATACTGCCAAGCATTATGGTTTAAGGCATGGCCACACAGAGGATTTTTTTACCCTAGCCCCCGCTGTGTTCAATCATGATTCTGTGGCAAAGCAATAGCCCATAACTTTAAGATCAAAACTGTGTCGATGTGTTATATTAGTGCCCTTTTGTGAGGCATTAATTCTCATTACTGTCAGTTATGACGTAAGGACGTAGGTCCCCTAGTTGATGATCATAGTAGCATACACATGCCTCAGCAGTCACGCAAAACAAACACTCGCCAATTATTATTCAATAAAACCTGAGAATGTATACTTTCATTTCGATCTATTAGGAATAAGTCATTGTCAAAATCATTCCATAAATTGGGGTAAAAAAAAAAACTATTCCACCCTTATCACCAATAGTGTTTATATTACATAAATATTTAGAAAAATATCTTATCTGTCTTGTGAAAAAGAGGGAGAATTACGGTTTTAGTTTTCGATAGGTTCCGGGTTCTAAACTATTTCGTTTTCCAGCCTTTCACCATAGTTTTGTTAAATGCATATCTGACTGGACAATAACAAATATGATTAAATAACGATTAATGATTCCCACCATGAAACCACTCAACTGAATTTTGTAAAGACATATAAAACTATCTATCCAATATGAAATAAAATTCAGATTATAGAATACAATTCTTTGGAAATTTCTCCTCTTTAATAATGATGACATTTGTGATTTCATTGCTAATGACACCGCTCGAAGTTAGAAAGGGAGGGAAGAGAGAGAGAGAGAGAGAGAGAGAGAGAGCAATGTTTTTTTTAAAGGAATTGCGGCGTTTGGCTAGTTAATGATATGATGACATATTTAATGAATATGCAAATTATTGGATTGGAATATGTTAATTTTAAGGGATGACGTGTTGTCAGATAATCGAGCTAATGAACCACGAATCAAAGGTAACAAATCGTCCGATTTCGTTTTGATTGTTGAATGTATTAATTTAATTATAAGTTTTTGTAGGGGATAATGTAAGCTAAATGCCCCGACCCAACATATTGGGTGCTTGTCCGGGAGTCGAACCCGTGACCTCATACACAAGCTCTCTCTCTCTTTACTCACTCTTACCATGGACATGCTCTTACACCCTTATATTTTTTCCATCCTTCTTTTTCTTTTCACTTCCCTCCTTTCCCATTGTTTATTTTCACATCTCACTCTCTTCAACTTCTTTGCCTCTACCGCTCTCTATGTTCAATCCCTTCTGTCCAACGCCCCTCATTCTCGCTGTTTATATACATTCCTCTCTTTCCATTGCCCGTGTAGTATTTTTAAGTTATTTCTTTATGATGATGCCCTTTCAAATTGCGGTAAATGGCCAAAAGCAGAACACACGCATTTCACTTAATTTGTGGACCATTGCAAATATATACAGTAAAAACACAAGAGGAAAACAGTTAAATTCAGAAGAAAAATTAGCTATTTAATGGGGATGAAGCATAGCCATCAATTGAAATAAATAAATAAATACAAACAAAAGTACTAACAAAGGATAAATGTTAAATATATTAAATGATGTAACCAAAACTAGACATATTGAGAAAATATTGAGCTTACTATGCAAAACTAATATTTGAACACAGTTTTCTTCTTCCAAATCCATACTGTATTAAGCCCAAATGCCGATTACGAGTCTTCATGATATGTCATAATCGATCATGACTTCAGAGACGTTAATCCAACATTAGTAAACCTAAAACATACATGGAACTGATAAAAGGGAACCTCTCTTTAAATTCAGTTGACTATATATGTATAATTGTGTATATGTATTTCCTTTTTAAGACAACACATTTCTTTTAATTTATTAAAACAGAATCAGGAGGTAAACAAATTATACATGTCGATAAATAATTTATATAGGAATCATATTCGTTTCTGTATTCCACGAAAATATATCAATTACAGCGTTATTTGGCCTAAAATATTGTTACCTGAGATAATTAAACAAAACAAAACAAATGACTAAATACGAAAAATGAAAATGAAGATAAAAGTATTAAATAGTATATTAAAGACAAATGTCACAATCATATCAGCAGTAACAATCCCATCATTCGGAGGGCAGCCTGGAAAATAAAATAAAAACAAAATAATTACATCTTGAAATAGGATCTGGACAACAAAGCATAACTAATAAAGTGGTCAAATCTAAGAGTTGACTTTTTCATGCTTTAACATATTTTTTCTTATTCGTTTAAATGAAAGGAATAATTAACTGTATTATCATACTTGTCTATTTGTAAGTGATTTTATTTACGCGCCGATTCTATATATAATCAGTATTGACACAATCCATTACAAGAAAATAGAACAGGGACCAATTTCCACTTCCGCAATATAATATTGTTTTAATGTAATCAAACGTAATGCATCAATCTTTCTTAACTGCCATGATACAAATTATTTCATGCACCTGTTATGAATAACTGTATTTCTATAGTCAGAATGCGAATTGCATACATTAATTTTTGTTGGGTAGGACAAAGAATATGGATTGTCCTACCTAGCAACACATAATGCATGTATATGCAATCTGCATCCTGACTATTGAAGTACAATTATTTGTAACAGGTGAATGAAACAGTTTGTAGCGAGGCACTTGACAAAGATTTGTGCAATACATTTGGTTGCATTACGACAATTGCCTATTTGTATGTAGCTTTTTTTGCTGTAAATCGATTTCCGACGTCTCTAAATTAGTCAAATACGTAATAAAATACAATAAATATTTGTTTTGCGGGTTCAACTTATTGATGATAGACGAAATATGCTATGAAGTGTTTACTTACTCATAAATAAAGTGTTTTCCTTTGTTCTAATACAGTGTTGGAATCGCCTAGTCATCTGCATAAAAAAAAATGCATAAAAAAGAAAATTAGAAATATATACATAATATTGTCTTGGAAGCATTGTATTAAAATTGTGGGCTCTGATTAAAAAGGGTCTAGATACATGTAAATGACAAAAATGTGTCGAGCACAAAAAGAGAGTGAGAGAAATAGAAGGGAGAGAGAGAGGGATAGAGAGAGAGAGAGAGATGGATAGAGAGAGAGAGAGAGAGAGAGAGAGAGAGAGAGAAAGGGGTGGTGGGGGGGATATAAGGGGGAGAGAGAAAAGTACTAAACTTTGGAAATTTCTAAAATATGATTTTTTTTGTTGAAGTTATCCCCCCCCCCAACAAAAAAAAGGAAAAGAGGATAGTTATATCAATAATAAGAATGATTATTATAATGATAATATATATAATGATGATAATAATATGAATGATGAAAATGATAATAATAACAATGGATCGTAAGCGGTCGTCTGGTTAAATGATTCAGATTAAGCATCCTTATTCTTTCTTCAATGATAGATTTTGGGTGAGTAATTTTCTTAATAATAATATATAGGCCCAAAAAAACTAACCATTGTCATTGGCACCATAAGATGTACACGTATTGCCAGGGGCATTCTGAGTGCAGCCAGTTGTACCATAGCTGCCACCTGGAGCACGGGGGGCTGCCTGGGCTACACCAGGGGCTCTTGGTAAAGCTGGAGCAGCACGACCGAATGTAGGAGTGTAAGGGCGACGTGGCGTATTGGGAACATATGGGCCAGAAGGTGCTCGAGGAGGTCCACCTGGACGAGAAACACCAGGTACATTAGGACCACGCTGGAAAACACCTGGTCCGTTTGGGGCACCGGCAACACCGGGCCCACTTGGAGCACCAGATACTCCACCAGTAGTGCCAGTCCCTGCATCAGCACCATTAACACCATCGGCACCTTCTGTTTCCTCTTCACCATCTATTCCGTCACTACCGTCGTAATCGTAGCCCTCCTCGCTGCTCTCGCTGTCATCTCCATCACTACCAGAGACATCTGTACTAGCTTCTGCACCTTCACCGCCAGCACCGTCTCCACCGTCAGCGAAAACACCGAAGGCACCAGCTGCTGGAGCGCTTGGAGCGTATCCAACTCCTGGCGCAGATGGAGCAAATTGTCGAGGAGCTGGTGGTGCAAATCCTGGGGGTGCAAATCCGGGAGCCGCACGTCGTGGGGGTAATGGGGCATACCCAGGAGCCCTAGGTGCTGGTGGTGGAGGTGCGTAACCAGGTGCTCCGGGTGCTCCAGGTGATGGTGCATAGCCAGGGATATTGTGCTCAGAACCTGACGATCCTCCAGCGTATCTTTGATCCGGGTTGTGTGGTGTAGGAGCATTTGGAGCTGGTGCAAATCCTGGCGCCCGGGGTGGTGCAGCAGGGGCCCTAGGAGCCGGTCGCGGAACTGGACCTCTCGCTGGAGGATAAGGTGCGGGAGCTCTGGCGGGAGGGTTGTAGCCTGGTCGACTCGGTGCTTGAGGGGCACGACCAGACGAGCGGCAGTACTCGTAGTTGGTAACCCTTATATTCTGTTGAGTATAAGCATCTTCTTCTTCTAAGTCACATTTATCGTTGTACAATTTGCCATTTGAGCCACAAACAGGTCCCGAGACACCCCTGTCACATGAGTCCCTTGGTGCTACAAATGAGAGAATGGAAGAAAGATGAAAAGTTAGAGTTCACAAATTCGTGAATAACACATTCTTTACATGTCGATCAATACATTGTTCTTTTGATCGAAAGCAAACCCTGACTATTTGAAAGATAAATCAATCTGAATAGATGGGAACCAAGACAAATCTACTTCATCCAACATAATCATCCATTTCATTGCCGCCTTTAGTTTAGATAAATAGATGTCGATTTGTATAGAGTATGTGTTTGGTACAAGCATCGAAGTGGAAATGTTCGTGACATGCGAGAGCAAGTGTGCGTATGCAAGAATCGACATCTGTGAAATAGGGTCTGTCATGTTTGCAGTCAAATTTGGCCTAGAAATTAGCTTTAAATATATGCTTTTTATCAGGGAAAGTTGGTAATTGATTTGCACATATCTCCAATGGTTTTAAAGCAAGAGGACTGTGGCCTGTGAATATCAAAAACTCTATTTTATAATTTTGTTTTCGCAAATGTAGTTTATACCCAGAAAAAAAAACATAGGCTCACTGGTCAATAGTGAATGAAAATACTACAGAAGAATTGTAGTACTTAAATACTTACATCTAGGTGCTGCTAGGGACGCCGAGAACACCAACATTAAAATAACCGCGCTCCTTAGAATATTCATCGTTTTAGTTTTACCTGGAGAAAAAGAAAGAAAAATCTCATCTGAATAAATATGTAATTTTACAAAATCTTTAATAAAGAAAACTCATTTGTAGCCAATTATTTACAAACGATCAAATATGATGAAGATTGTGCTTTAAAAAATGTTTCCTTCTCTTTCAGTGATTTCAGATAGAGTTTACAAATGAAAGAAAAAATATTGTTCTTGATTAGAAATTCATTTTAATGATAAATAATTAAACACAGTTAATAGACCTAGACTAATTTATGATTAAAACTATTTCATTAAAAAGAAGAAGATATTATTGCTATGTTAATTAAGTTGAAAATACCCAATACTGCGACAAACTAATTTGCGACATTTCTCTTTCAAAGCAATATATTTCTACATAAAATGAATAGTTAAAAACTTACCAAGTAAACAGTGTCAGTTTGTAAATCCTCTATCTCTGCTGAAATGTCTGAAGATCCAATTGATGCTGCATCACTCTCAGCACCCTCTATTTATACAGTTTTGAGATTTGGTTAAGTAGGGCATAAAACATAGGCCTACCAGAGATGACACACTGATGTGAAACTTTGTACAAACAATACAAAAAGAAAAACAAAACAGGATTAATTCAGAAAGATACTCTACGGATATTGCATGGAATAATCGAACTTGCTCTATATCGGACAGTAGCAACATCCGCTGTTAAATCATAATCCATGGTCACATCAGAGCTGAAAAGATAACCATTATCCAGGATACTCTGTTGAATGTCGCAGAAAAAGATCAATATGATTTGAATATATTATAGTCATACAATAGAGAATTCTTGTCTTTGCTCCACTTTTTGTTATTTCCCCCTTTTTGATAGCATCTCTATTATGACCGATTATAACATGAAAAATAAAAAATATGAACGGATAATCGGAGTCAGAGCATGAGTCACAGATTAAAAGGAAGAAAAACAATTTTCGAAAGGCTTATACGATCTAGAGATTTTTAAGTACTGTAATATAGTTCATTGCTACGTATTACATCTATACATGACGATCACTTATCCGTACAGTAGCAAAAGCCCATGACCTAATTCTTATGTCAACATATGCTACTTTGAATCACCGTTTTCATTGGTCTCTTGTGACGTGACGTAATCCACTTTTCGACCCAGTGCGTTCGAAATTCTCATTCATTTACACACCCTTTGACAGAAAATTCGTTTTGATTTCTTACCCCCATATTCAAATTCCATACTTTGCGCTGAATAAATACAGATTTCTTATTATCTTATCATTATTATTATAATTATGATTATTATTATTAATATTATCATTATCATTATTATCATTATTATTATCATTTGTATGATTATACTTATTCATTTCATTCCCGTTTTCATTATACTCTCTCGCATCTGTTTCTGTCTCCTCCCCTTTCAGTCTCTTCGTGCTTGTCTGTTTCTTTCTTTCTATCTCTCTCTCTCTCACTCTCTTTCTAGTATTTGCCCTTGCCCTTTGTCTTTTTAATTTTTCTTCACTTTACCTACTGAAATTTATTTTCACATTTTCAAATGCTCTATAAATGACACTCTTCGATTAATTATTTGCATAGTTATTTACATATTTATTAACCAATAAAAAAAGAAATAACTTATACATTCACGCTACATATATTATGTATATACTTTCTCTCATCAAACATAAATGTAAATGGAAATTAACGATTTGTTTTTCTTTCTATGAGGTAGGCTTAAGAACACATTATTCCTGAGAAATTTTAACGAAAATATTCAGAGGTAGCTCATACATTTGGACTATAAATAAAACATGCTGTTCAAACATAAAAGGTCGATGATACGGTAAGGGATATAGATAATTGCGCACTTTCTCTAATATTCTAACCGTGATAGAGGAAGAGGGGGGGGGGGGGGCGAAATCCCCTTCTTAGACAATAAATACGTGTAACTTTGCTGGCAACTTGCCGATATGCTAACCCAAGTTACCCTAAAGATTCATTCACAAATTTTTCACAAATATTCATTCACGTTGACTGCATGAATATGTAGGCAAAGGCGTACAGACAGAATTTCGTCTTTCTTGCTTTTGTTTCTTGCCGAATAGCAACATTCCAGCTTATATAGTTTGTAGAAAACTAATGAAATACAAATGTACTACATTCAAACTGTTTGCCGTAATAAATGAGCGTACACCACATAATTGCTAACATCGAATTCTGATTATTACTTCTTGTCTTTTGAAAGGCATCAGTTCATATATAATAAATAAATAAAAAGTGTTATCTTTGAAATAATTATCAAATCTTCCTAACAAGGTCCGTTTTTAAGTTGTTTAAGACGATTATCTCTCCTGGTACATGCAGAATAACGTAGGTCACAAGAACTTCTGTATGTTTGTCCGTCTGTCCCACACACTTGCATAGGCTGAGCGATGAACAAACGTGGACAGATTTCGCAGGGCTGCCCATTGATGTCTCCTGCATGGACAACGAACCAAGTTCAGATAAACAAATAAGTAAGTTGCATATTATGGTTGTAAAAAGAGGATTTTAAATAATGTTAATTTCTTTTATGTTCATTTAACACATGTTGTACTTCAACGGATGTTACGCAGCGGCACTGTAAACTTGATTGCCTACAGACAAGGAAAATGCACTATCATTAAAAAAAAAGCTGGAGCTTAGTCAATTGCAGATCTACTTGATTGTTTATTCTTCCGCAGTGCTATTGTAGGCATGGGTGTCGATCCCGGGGGGGATGGGGGGGGGGGGGATATATCCCCCCCCAATATTTCAGGTGGGGGGGATGGCCTGTACAATCATCCCCCCCCCCCCAATAATTCACCATCAAAAAATAAAAAAAATTAAGAGAAAAATTAAGGATGAGAGCCCTATGAGAGTAGTTAATGGTTATTACTCGCAGGATGACCATCAATAAACACATTTTGCTATCTCATTTTCATAATACATACATATATACGAATTAAATAAGACAACCGTATATGAGACAAGAATAAATTGAATTCTCGCTCATACGGCTTCATCAGGAATTGATGAATTTATTCAATTTGTTCAATCATAGAAATGCAGTGCGCCAAATGACGCAGCGTCAAAAAGCAACGAGCTAAATGTTAAGCGCGAAGCGCAAAAGTAGCAATCTGCAATGCACATCAGACAATCCTGGACAGTTAATACATAGATGAACTCTGTGACGATTTCGTGATGAGATCGAAGACAAGGAGAAAGATTTTCGGACATTAGTATGACTTATAAAATAGTTCTCTAGATGTTATGTTGTTTCCGTTCACCCTTTTTAAAATTCACGTCATTATATCTATATTTTTTTCACTCATTTTATTTCCTGATATTTCCTAAAAGATTTTTCATTTTTGGAGAAAGATTATTATGTCACAACTTATTTCTAACAAAAATTATTTTCAGTGGGGAAACTGAATTCAGACAAGGATTAAAATAGAGAACAGTACAACGAATCGTCTTCTTTCTCTAATAATTCAGTGAAAAGGGCAAATCTGTTAGGGGGCAACTGAATTCAGACATGGATGAGCGTAATAATCAAATGAAACGTCAAAGTACACGATACAACGAAGCGTCTTCTTTAACGAATAATTTAATGAAACGTGAAAGCTTCCGCGCTAAGCGCGGAATGGGCGAAAATGAATACAGACAAGGATTAAGAGTAATAATTTATTAAAACGTTAAAGCTTCCGCGCTTCGCGCGGTAGGGGGGAAACTGAGTTCATGAAGGACACGATACAACAAATCGTCTTCTTTCACTAATGTGAAAGCTTCCGCGCTTCGCGCAGGAATGGGCGAAAATGAATTCAGACAAGGATTAAGAGTCGAGAATGGTACATCGAATCGTCTTCTTTCTTTAATAATCTGATGAAACGTCGGAGCTTTCCCGCTACGCGCGGAGGAAGGGGAACTTGATTCAAACAAGGATTAAGAGTCGAGAACGGTCCAACGAATCGTCTTCTTTCTCTTATAATTTAGTGAAACGTCAAAGCTTCCTTCGCGCGGTAGGGGAGAAACTGAATTCATGAAGGACACGATACAACAAATCGTCTTCTTTCTCTATTGTGAAAGCTTCCGCGCTTCGCTCAGGAATGGGCGAAAATAAATTCAGACAAGGATTAAGAGTCGAGAATGGTACAAAGGATCGTCTTCTTTCTTTAATAATCTAATGAAACGTCAGAAGGGGAAGGGGAACTTGATTCAAACAAGGATTAAGAGTCGAGAACGGTCCAACGAATCGTCTTCTTTCTCTAATAATTTAGTGAAACGTCAAAGCTTCCGCGCTTCGCGGGGTGGAAACTCCCCCTCCCTGCACGCAACTCCCTAGGGACCGCGCTTCGCGTGCTCACTACCGCCCCCTAAAATGAAATCCTGTCTACGCGCTTGGGAGGGGTGCAACTTGCCACACGCTTCTACCTCTTGATTGCTTTGATCCATTGCCGAAAATATTTTGGCACCTTTCATCCCCCCCCCCAACCACGGATACAAAATAATCGACACCCTTGATTGTAGGCCTCATTAAGAAAATAATCTCTCTCGACAACCCTTTCGCGTAATTATAATTATGTACTAAATGTTTACTGGTATTCATTAGTAAAAAAATCAGCACATTTATGATAATACGTGACAGAATATCTGATATACGGTGTTAAAAATGATACAAAATTGTTTCTATTACCTAGGCTAATTTACCATTATCACCAGTTGTAGTATCGCAGCCGTTACTGCTTCCTCCGTTCTCTCCATTTTCATCGCATCCTTTATCTCCACTAGGTGCCTCAGGTTCAGGAGCTGATGGCTTTGGAGGAGCCGGTGCTTTAGGTTCAGGAGCTGGAGCCATTGGAGCTGATGGCTTCGGAGGAGCCGGTGCTTTAGGTTGAGGAGCTTTGGGGACGGCAGGTGAAGAAGCAGGTCTGCGTGGGGGAGGTGATGGGATCTTTGGACGACGAGCTGGAGCACGGGGAGCTGGAGGGGCCGGAGCTCTTGGAATAGCATTGGCGACTCGATGACGTGGAGATTGCGCAGGGGATCCAGCTGGAGCTGCTGCGGGTTTACTACCAGACACGACGTGAAAGTCTATTCCTCCCTCGGCAACTTCTCCGCCATTTCCACCCTGTGATTGTTCCACACCTCCCGGTGAAGAGCTGTCACATTCCTCGCTGCTATCGCTTCCACAACCTGTGTGATGATTTCATAAACTTTGTATTCATTTTTTTATGTACGAAGACGCAAATCCGAATTTCTTTCTTTTTAATTCAAAAGGGAATGTCTTAATCAATTTTTAATTCAGTTGTGATAACATTTTTCAAACTTTAAGTATTGTGATATGATACGTTTTATATATATTAAATTACAGCGCTTTTCTGCACTTAGAGGGCGCTTTTAAATTCCGCTTATCATGGAGTATCCAGATACATGTAATTGCTACTTTACATATGTGTTTATTTTAAAATCATAACAAAAGTTCACAAATATGTATCAAACCTGGTTCAACATTTTCCATTTTCACTTTGTTCCATGATATCAAACTCATTCACATTTCATGAGCCTGTTAGAAATTTCATGAAAACTAAAGCAGACCGGTTATTTCCATTAAATCCATCACTGATAGAGTTAAATAGCGACAGTGTGTACAACTAACCTCCGTATCCTTCTCCTATGCTACCTCCACCGTACCCTCCATCGTAGTCAGCTGTGTCGGCAGTGCCTTCCACCCCATCCACGGCATCGTGAGCGGGAACGGAAGCTGGAGCCGAGGGAGCGAAGGCCGGGAGATCTCTCGCGGGAGGAGCACGGGCTGGATACCCCATGGAAGGAATCACACAAGGAGTGTGGGATGAATAGTGGGAAGACACAGACAGGAGTAAGAAGAGAGAATTTTGCAAACGAAGTAGTTAATAAGTGTATGAGCAAGCCCTAAAACACATAAAATCATTTAAAAGCACAATACTCGTACGACAATATTAACTATAATCAAGCTGAATGAGAAAAGTAAAAGAAGTAAAATATAATATTAATTACAATGATTGTTTTCTTCTGAAGAATATGGTATACGTAGTTCCTGACATTCCGACAATAAATTCACAAATAAGAGATTCATTTCTTTTGGAAATCAGAATAAGACAAAATGGCATACCTTTGGGTGCTCTGGCTGGGGCTCGAGGTCTTGGGGCACGAGGAGATGGTGATGCGGCCTTAGGATATGACACAGGTGCTCGTGGAGCTGGAACAGGCGGAGCAGGCGCTTGTGGCTTAGGAGCAGGAGCAGGAGCTGCAGGGGAACAGGGAGTTGGGTCCGCTCCACATGACCCAGTGGAACCACACTCAGCACCGGTACCCCCGTTGTCATCTCGTTTGACTGTAGACAATGAACATGACAATATCGTACACACATCTACACTGTAATAACCGGAGTAATATTTTAACACCACTTCGAGCACTAACAAAGAGGTTGTCAGCACCACAGAAGTTATAAAAATAATTCCATCGTTTGAAACACCAAAAGAGTTAAACAAAGTAAAAACGAAAACAGTGTTATTAAGACAGCTAAGTTCGATAATGGTGCTGTTTTGATACCCTCGTGGTGTCGACGTATAGACACGATTAAAACTGTGTTAGATTAACAACCTATATTTTGCAGCAAGTTCTCTAAAATGTTTAATAAAGATGCAGCAATAAAACTACACATATGAAAGCTTATCAATTTATATCATAAGCTTTTTATCTATTAAAATTTGATTAATATTTGACTTTTTTTGTTCGAGACAAAAACATTAAGAATGATATGTTTATTGTAAATAATATCATGGACACCGGAATTCCTACCTCTTGGTTCCGCAGATACAAACGATGCTAGCATTAGCACGCCACCAACCTTCAATATGTTCAATATCTGCATCCTGTCTTTACTGTTGATACAAATGAGTAGAATGACCGATTATTTATTAAACGCCAACAGGAGAAGGAGAACAGTTTATTAATTAAAAGTCATCATAAAGAATGAAATACAATGATGAATATTGTATGAATAATGATCTTTATAATGTATACATTAATTAATTAGTCTCTATAATGATACTCCTGTATATTTGTAATGCGATGTCTAACGAATCAAAGTTTTAAAGGTATACCCATAACATTTATTTGATATTATTTTCTACTACTTACCTTTTAGTTCAACAGTCGAGTGTTTCCAGAAACAAAGTTTTTTCTTAATTTTTGGAAAGCTGTGTTTACTATCCAAACTCCTCAAAGATGTCTTCTAAAATTGTAATGTATTCCTTCGCAAGTTCTGAGATATATGCTACATCATGAATTCATGCCCCTTTATATACACATTTTGGAAATAGCCTTTTCAGCCATTCCGACTTTGCTTCTTACAGTCACAATTTAAGAATACGTCACCAGTATTTAATAGGAGGTCACTTCTTTTCTTATAGTATTCTTCTTCTTATTGTTATCACTCATATCGAAATCTTTAAAAAGGTAGTGATTCATCCTTCATTCTGCCATTCTTCATAAACACTGATACCTTGTATTCAGGATATAAAAACTATGTCACGGCTATTCATTTTGAATATTATAAAAATCGGTATCTCTGAGACAACAAGCTATCAGAAAGCAAGATATAACGGAGTACATTACATAAGAAGCTGTATTTAGTTGTAAATGTCACGCCCTTTACCTCATTGTCACTGATGACAGATGTTGGTTTTTATCATTTTTAAGAAGGAGTATGATCAAAAAACAATATATCTGACTCACTGTCAATCTAAGATGGATAAAAAAGTCAAGTATGATATTGAAATGTCAATGTTAGTGTTGTTTACATTTGGGAAACAAATCAAGTGTTCTACTGAGAAACCGCTATAAACTCATATATATTTTCCGTAAAACAAACATTGCTATTATGCCATGCAAATAATAAGCAAGTGTATCCTACAATTGATTTAAGGGTCCACGATAATTCGGTATGTTAATAATAATATAAAGGATTTTCAACTATGGGGACACTGATGACCTTCACAGCGAACACTGGTAAACTAATGTTTGCTTCTGACTTTAATGTTGTGGGCCAGGAAATCGTGCCTCATTGCAATGCTCCCTATTATAGAAAAACGTCATTAATATTCTCACTTAATATTATTATATGTTATGTGAACCCTCTTTAGCTCTTTTTCTCTCATTCTTCTTCCCCTCCTTCTCCCCTTTCTCTCTTTTCATCTCTCATTCCCTTTTCACACACTCTTTCTCGATCCCCTTTCTCCTTTCTCTCCTTCTCTTACCCATCTCTTTCTCTCTCTCTCTCTCTCTCTCTCTTCTTTATTAACCCATTTTCTTCTCATTTGTTACATTATTTGTATTTTGCTCTGATTGGATCGGTATGTCCTTTTATTATAGTGAAAGCGACAACAAAACAAGTCATGTCAGATTTCAAAGCAATTTCATAAAAATATAAACTGTAATGCAGCAAGTCAGATTTCTCAATATTATTTACAAGATATAAGCCTGTGAAGAAAAGGGGCTCGGGGCCCACGAAACCTCCAAATGGACTAATAAAAATGACTTGGATATTTAAAAACCCATCTGAAAATTCGAACTTAATGTTAAGACGCTAATGACCCTGTAGTCAATGCGAATGTGTTAGGATTATGTTAAGAGTATTGATTTTCCCTTATAAGGTTGCATAAAGACAAGGACGTAAACATCATTAAACTACCCAATCATTGGTGATCTAATTTTACTTTAAATTAGATGAGTACTTTAACAGTTTCCAGATTTAACAACCTCGAGTTTAATTCCGCCGTTCATACATGATGCATACTTGAGATCACAAAGACTGGCGTAAGTTCTACCATCTGACCCACAGACTTCACTATTCTGTGAGATTTCAACCGGACATGGTATAGGCTTACATATGAATGCATCAGTTGTATCGCATCCTTCCTCACATACTCCCTCTCCAACACCAACGCCACCTTTATCACCACGGTCTCCACCACCAGCACCGTTACCACCATCACCACCATCTTCACTATCACCAGCAACACCCTTCCCAACATCTTCACTACCACCAGCAACACCCTTCCCACCTTCTTCGCTACCACCAGCAACACCCTTCCCACTGTCTTCACTACCACCAGCAACACCCTTCCCACTGTCTTCACTACCACCAGCAACAGGTTTCTCACCACCACCACCACCGCCTTGTAGAGTGGTCCCTCCGCTTGGAGATTTGGAAGGGAAGACCACAACGGGAACGAATTTGGGAACAAAATGAAGAATTGGGCGATGACTGTCTGATGAAACTTTGTTTGCGCTTTCTTTGACGGAATGGTTGTTCTTCTTTTCACTCCTACTCCGACCTCTCGGCCGACTGCCAGCATTTCCACTTTTCTTTCGAGTACTGCCTCCCATATGACCTGTGCCCTCACCTACAGAGAGGGAGAACAAGTCGTGATACAGGTGTGTTAAACGTTTAACACGGAAGGCAGTATCGTTCAAAAACACACATCCAAACAATCCTTTAATTGAAGTACAAAGACAAATTACATTCGAACGAAAAAGGAATTTAGTGATTCACTTCACTTTATTCATGTCATAAATATTCAAAACAAAATAAATAATAAATAAAGTACAAACAACTCAATAGTAATAAAAGTACAACAAAAATGTAAACTCAAATTAGTGACTTCTTCTAATAAAAGTCTCCCCTAGCTAGCCATGAAATCCATATCGGAAGTGTTTTTTTTTAATAGATAGACAAACATTGAAAACATACACTGTCTACAACAGATTGAAAGCAGAAAGTGGAAGTCTATATTTAAATACATACAATCTAACCGCGATTTGCAGACGAGGATAACTACGGATAAATATTTGTCTTGATATCCTAAAGACAGTATTTTTTTTTAATTAAGGAAATGAAATGCAACCCCAAAATAGCCTAGTAGAGTAGTAGTAGAACTACATTCCTATTTTGATCGAAAAAGGATTGAGAAAAAAACGTTTAAGCGAACTACCGCTACATTTGAATTTCTAAAATAATTTAATACATCATTATATACATCATGATTTTGCTTATCATTTTACACAGTTTAAAAAAATGCGATTCATCATCAATTTATGTATATGGAGGTTTTTAAGGACCATCGTGAGGAATGTAGATTACCGGGCACCTGAAGTGCCACCAGCATCTCCACCACTACCACCAGCATCTCCACCACCATCACCACCTTCGCAACCACCTTCACCACACCCACCGTCTCCTCCTTCACCACCGCATCCTTCTCCTCCTCCTTCACCTCCTTCTCCTCCCTCACCACCTTCACATCCCTCCGCACCTCCAGACTCGCCTTCAGTGCTCTCCTCACTGCTGGAGCTGCTGCTGCTACTACCACCACCGCCACTAACACCTCCCTCTGCACCCCCTCCGTTTGCGTCTCCACCACCACAGCCTCCGTCACCACCTCCATCGCCACCACCACATCCTCCGTCACCACCTCCGTCGCCACCTCCGCCAGCACTGCCATCACCTCTTCCGCACCCGCCTCCGCCGCATCCGCCATCTCCACCACCGTCACCGCCTCCGTCACCTCCTCCATCACCTCCTCCGCACCCGCCTCCGCCGCATCCGCCATCTCTACCACCGTCACCGCCTCCATCACCACATCCGTCGGTTCCGGCATCACACGTGCCTCCACCTCCTCCTCCTAATTAGAAAAAAAAATGTCATTATACAATACACTAAATGAGAATATATCTGACTTTGCCGAGAACTATTCCTCATTGGACACGAGGAGTCACTTCGACTGCGTTTTTAGCTCCGCTAATCAAGCAAACTAGTGCACCAGCCAATACATTCAACGCAATTTTGAACTGTACTTTTTTATCCCAAATTTAGACGGTGTCCCTTTATGATTTCAAAGACAGCGCCAGTCGCTGACGCAGTCAACCGCCAGCAAATTGCAGCTCGTGTGAAACTGTTATGAAAGAGTACGTACTCAACATGTAAACCGTACTACGATTATGCGTGTTATTAATGCCTAAATCACAATAGAGCTACGACCGGTCGCCGACTCCCCATAACCACTGCTAGGTCGTACGCCTAGTGTGACTAGGCTTAAAGCCCGTCTGCACAAGTTTGGCCAGAAGGGATTAGACCTTCCATCGTGGTCACTGACAGGTGGTTATCTCATCAACTCAACTCTCAGTTAACATAAGAAAAAGAGGATCATGGAGGACCAACCGACACCGCTTAGCTATTGTTTTCTATATAGAGGGAGCAAGAAGCTACAAGTACATGTAGTGCAATGGGGCTTAAAAAAGCTGACCATGAAAGATATCCTTTAACATATTGAACAAATAAAATGTACCCATCACAGGAGATATTTATTCACAATTTGAAAATCTGGATATAAAAGTTCATTCAAGTATTTATTCGAAGAAAGGGGAAGGTGACCTAAACAATGTTATTCAATCAAATGTAGAACTCGTTGTTTATCATATTTTAAAAGCAGTAATTAGAATAACATTCAAAAGCAGGTTAAAATGGTACAAGAAAGCATTCCGTGTACATATCTTTGTGTACAAAGGATGTATTACTATCATAAAACAAAGTGACCCTCCAGTTGGCTACGTAACAGTTCGTTATGGATTGGCATCATTGTTAAATACAGTTATCGAACTAAAAAATGAAAACAGATATATCAAAATGGGAAACTTACTCTTTTCTCTTGGGGCTCCTTCAGTTACCCTACATAAGAGGAAGAAGCAGGTCAGTAGAGCCAACCCAGTGAAAGTCTTCATCATGATGGCTTCTGGAAACGGAGAAAGAAAAAAATCAATAGAAAATACATGTAACATCAATGAATGATTACAGGAGAGTTTTTTCAAGTAATCCCAAATTAGATACAATTTACTTGGTTAGTACAATTTCAATATACAAACCTGTAACTTTCTTCAAATTTAACAGCATTTCAAATAATTCAGTCCAAATCACACCAAACTATTTATTCATGTCAGTAAGAATTGAACACAATTGAAATAATTAAAGCAACTATAATAGCAATTATAATAGGAACTAATTAAAGCAGCTAATGGCAACTTATTTGTATTTATTTATTTTATTTATTTTATTTCCAGACAAGATTATAATATACAAAACATCACAAGGTTGACAAATGATATAACATAAACATAATAATATTTAGCACCAGTTGATGCCTGAGGATCACCTAAAAGAATTTAAAAATTCTGTCTGGAGGCTCTCCACAATTATATCATACTTACTGGTTTAAGGCATATAACCAGGAAAGAAAATGTTCCACTGTTCTGTTACTTTCCTGTTCCTTTGATTACTCTGCTCGAGGGAGTGAATGATGCCTTTGACAAATACTCTTCCCTTTATATACTTGATTTCAAACTCCAGGGAAGATGATGCTCATAAATGGTCATCTTCACCCAAACTGGGCGGAAACTACATGTTTCAATTATCTTAGGATAATCTTTAAACAAGAGGAAATTAAAATTCCGATGTCCATGAGCTCATATCGTTTTTTCTCTCTAATGCACTGCCAGTAGGTATATGTCCTATAACCAAAGCACATCAATATGATCATCTCTTGTGGCCGTGATTTTACATGACAGCAACGGTCAAGTGCAGGGCTGAACCGCTGCTTGATTATAAAAGACCGCACCCTTTCCAGAATGATTACATGAAATAACGGCACATCTGTTACTAAATTGCAACATGTGGGAAGATACATGTAGTAACGAATATAAGAATTGATTTACGTCATAGCTGATGGAATAATGTTATCTTTTCTCAGAATTTGACGAATAAAACAAAATTATTAGTCAACCTACACGCGCATGCGCTAAGGGCATGTCGTTTATAAACCAATGATTTTATAATCATTGTTGAATTCATAACTATGTATCCACGCATATATAGAAATATGTGTTCAATATATTTAAAAAAAATCTTTTTTTCACAGTGTTTAAATTGGCAAATTAATAAAAGTCGACACCTCTGTTTAAACACAGAATTTTATAAATATCCTATACGGTGGTATGGAGAAATGGTAACATCTTTAATATTCGAGATCACTGAGCATTAAGATAATTGTAAATCGTCACTGTGATGTAAGGACAGTTTGATTTAATTCATAGACATAATACATAATATAAATATCAGCAGTCTTTACTGAAATATGAACTTAAATTTAAACAAAGCATGGGTTGTTTCATTCGTATTAAGCTTGCAGGTTCAATGCTTTGTTGATTATAATAAAGTTTGATATTGTCAAGAGACCTACACGAATATTTCACCAACAGAATAAGTCTCGAAAAAAATATATCAAGGATTGACATTCTGTCGTAGGACTATAACAGAGCCCTGATCTAACTGACTATACATTGCCCCACTCCAATCCTCCCCTGTCTTATATATCTCCCTTTATAAGAGGATCACGTGGATCCTAATCAAATGATTGGATGAAAACGTACACGTGACCAGGCATTTATTTTGCCTAAAGCGTAATTTGGAAAATGACTGGTCATTATCCAATGGTAATGGCCGGTCATTTTAAAATCATGTTATAAAACATCATTTTATAAAACAAATAAAACATAATCTTATAAAACAAATAATACACATCATTTTGTTCGGGCATTAGTAAAATTACCCACACTTGGTACCTTCAAAACAGTCCAAACAGTTAGACTGTTACAAAGGTACCTCGTGTGGGTTCTTACTAATGCCCTCATTGCTGCGTATTATTTGTATACTGTATCTGTCTTTCTCTCTCATCATATATCTTAATCTCCTTCTATCCTCTCGTTCAGTTCAGTGCAGTTCAGTTTCAGTTTCTATCACTCTATTTCATTCCCCTTCCATCCCCGTTCTCTCTTTCTTTTTCCTCTCTCTTTTTCTCCTCTACTCTTTATCAATCTCTTCTCTAACTTTATATCTCCGCCCTATTGCCTTCTCTCTCTCTCGTTTTCTTCTCTCTCTCTCTCTCTCTCTCTCCCCCGCGTTTTCACGCTACTTCTTTATCTCGAAAGCTGTTTGTCTTTTACCATTTGTTTCGCTTTCTCCCTCTTTAACTTTTGTTTTTCTTTCCCCTGGGCAAATGAGACCCTAGCTTAATGCACCTCCTCGTCCAAACCCCCTTCAAGAAACATTGTCATACAAAAACGCATCCAAACATTAAACATTCATTTTTCGATCATTTAATTGTTATGCATAACCATTACAATAAATGATAAATAAATAATAATAAATTACAAATAATACAATAAAGGAATGTAAAAACATGCGACAAAATATGCGTGCTTTAAGAATGAAATTAAGAACAAACGTAATTTGTTCTCGTAACCGCTTACTTCCATTATAATATTAATAATTAATACAGTAATATTGATGTAGCACTCATGATTATATCGTCAATCAAATTTAAATTCAATGCAGTATAAGCCCCTCTTTAAAAAGTGAAGTATCCTCCATTTACACGTATCCAATCAACATTAAATGTCTACTGCTCATTCTCATAACGTGTTTCAGACATTGTGATGCAACATGACAAGTACATTAAGTAGTATGAATTTAAGGAAATAAATAAGTAGGGTATCGCGATAATGAAGCAGGGATATAGGACCGTCTGTTCAGGTACATATCCTTGAAGATGGTAACTGTCAAGAAAAAGAAGAGGAACAAGAATAGATAAGTTAATACAAAAAAATGGAATGAATAGATACAAAAGTTAGTGAATAAATAAAGATACACAAAATACCACAGCTCATAATTCATGAACGTTGTGCGCTGGGTTTGTCAGTGTATATGAAATAAATAAAAATAAATATATAAAACAAACAAGAAAAACAACCTGTAGTAATAAAGAGCCATTCGAAAATGATCAAGAACACACTTTTGCCTATGTCTTTGGGCCTATTCACAAAATGCAATTGATTAGCGAAGAGAAATATTAAAAGAGCAACACGCATAACCATTCGAAAATACAAAGGAAACCATCCTTTGTAACGTCATTTGTCAACTTACAAAAACTGTCGTATGTTTATGGAGCATTTCTTTAAAATCTAAACGTTTGCTAATGAACATCAATCCTTCCGCTTCCCTTTCTTGACCCGTTACCATTTGTAATGTCATTATAAGATCTAACCTACCTTTAACAGGGTCCATCTTTGGCCTTAGACAGTAGAAAATCACCCCGGATGCAGGCTGAGTAACGGAGGTCACATGCACTTCTGTATGTCTGTCCGTCTGTACCGCACACCCCCATGGTTTGGCCCACGAAGTGGTTGGGACAAGGGAGGCAGTGGTTTCTCAGGTCCTCTAGAGATTCGGAAGGAAGTCGGATTATAGTGATCAACTATTCGCTGGAATGGCGAGATAATGTGTTTGGGACTCCACAACACTGTGACACACATTTTGCCACTAAATTGAACTGGTATAATTACACTGTATGTGTCTCCTCTTTTAAGAAAAAAATTAAAGAATGAACAAAGATAAACATAATTCCTAAATCCAGAGTGCCTTGAATTAGAACGCATATTGCATCGAGTATCTACTTGTTTTGAATATATTGGAATCGAAACAGCAAACACTGTAACCGCGCTTAAATTGAGGAAAATTTAGTAAGAGTTCAAAATCGCACGCATGTATTAATGCAGCATGTACTAGTCACATATCACCCTATAATGGTAAAGGAAGCATCAGGATTGATATTCCTCCATAGAGATTCATGGTTTACCTCATGGAAACCCCCACAAAACTATTGTAAAACTACTTATTTTTTAAATAATGTAACATTATGCAACAGTATTCAAGAAGACCACCAATATTACCGTGAGTTTTGTGCTAATCAATTAAATGAACAAAAGTGTCATACCATAGTCGCCAGTCGTGGTATCGCAACCATTACTGGTGCCGCCATCTCCATTATCACCGCATCCATTGTCACCATTATCTCCATCGCTAGGGCTCTCGGGTTCGGGTGCAGATGGGGCTTCTGGTGCGGGAGCTGGTGCAGGAGGAGCAGGAGGAGCAGGGGGAGCAGGAGGAGCAGGAGCGGGTGGAGCAACTGGAGCTCTCGGGGCTGGCGCAGGTATAGGTGCTGGTGCTGCTGGCCTTGGTACTGGCCTTTGTGCTGGAGCCCTTGGCGCTGACGGTGCTGGAGCCCGTGGCACTGATGGTGCTGGGGCCCTATAGACAGGCGCCCTGGGAACATACGCAGGTGCACGTGCTGGGGCTTGAGGAGCGGGTGCCCTAGCTGGAGCTTGAGGGGCGGGTGCTCGAGCTGGAGCACGTGGACGTGGAGCGGCAGCAGCAGGGTAACGAGAAGGAGCTGCAGCAGGGTAGCCTCCAGGTGCAGCAGCAGGGTAGCCTCCAGGTGCTGCAGCTGCCCCACCTCCTACAGCTGCGCTATAATCTCCGCCATCACCACCATCAGCACCTCCAGCGCCTCCACCTGAAGCACCACCTCCACCACCTCCACTTGAAGCACCACCGGCGCCGTCTCCGTATCCTCCACATTCTTCACTGCTGTCACCACAACCACCTGATAAATGTAAGATATTTAATATGTTGATGGATTGACGACATTAGTAAACTCTTGAACTTAATTAAGTATACAATTGGCATGACGTAGCGTTGGACCATATTGGCATAGGGGGGGGGGGCACTAGTGGGAGCGAAACGGCCAATCAGTTTCAAATTGTGACATGTGCCATCGTTTATAGTCTCCCCATTATCTCTCTTTTCTATCCCTATATTGTCGATGTGCCTTAACACATAATTGAGACGGACGTAATGCCAGCTATTGTTGCTTGTATATCATTACACAGATAATACAGTTGTATCAGTGTACATTATAATTATTTGGAACTAAAAATGAACTATGCAGTTCTTTCAATTAAAATGTTAACCTACCTCCGTATCCTTCTCCGCTGCTGTCTCCACCATACGCATAGTCGTAGCCATATTCGTAATCACCTCCATCAGCTCCGTCAGCTCCCTCTGCTCCACCATACGCCGCATATTCTCCTGGTGCTGAAGGAGCGAATGCGGGAGCAGCAGGAGCTCTTGCGGGTGCTCTCATCGGGGCCCTAGGAGCTGCTGGAGCTCTTGAGGGGGCTCTCATGGGGGCTCTAGGAGCTGCTGGAGCGCGTGGCCTCGGCGCACGAGGTGCTTGGGCAGGCGGTGCTGGAGCTCGTGGAACAGGAGCTGGCGGAGCAGGGGCTCGTGGGGCAGGGCCTGGGGCTGGTGCAGGAGCTGCTGGGGCACAAGCACCAGGATCCGCTGAGCATGGATCTGAGGAACCGCAATCAGACCCACCATTGTCACATCCGTTCCCATTGTCGTCACGTTTTTCTAATAAAAATGATGTTATTGGAATAATCATTTCTCTTATAAAACCGATATGATTGGAATAATTTTGTTTGCATACAAATTGTTTTGCTTTCTCTTTGTTTTAATCCGAAGAAGGACCTTTGGATGATTTAAAAACATGAATTTCTGTTGATATTAACTTTTAGTCATGAAGTAAATTTTGTTCCAGCGTATCACTTACTATTAATTTAAAGCACCCTTTATTTCGTATATGAAACCATTCTTACATTGTTAACGAGATGCTACAATGTTAAATTGGTCACTAGAAGCGAAATCACAAATGTCGACTTATAAATACATGTAACACTGTCGATTTAATCTAATGATATCGGCAATTACATGTCTGACCATCTAAACGAATACAGCCATCAGTTGATACTTCCTAACTATTATAACGCTTTTTATCTGCTGTCTCAATGAAGTAAAACCATGTTTCCTTTCTTACCTCGCGGTGCTGCGGCAGAGAGGTCGGCTACTACTGCCAGCAAAGCCAGCAGAGCTACAGCTGTCTTAAAGTTCATCTCGACGAATTCACAATTATTCCTGTTTGTACATAACATGAAAATAACATAATGTTAGACAGTCTCTCCTGTATCTCATGTAATATAGTCCCCGTTTAACATGTTGAAGCTTCCGACCAAATTCATTGCATGTTTTCGATGCCTCAAATCAATCCCTTTATAGTTTTAGTAGTTGCATTGGCATGAAGGGTCAAAACAATCAAATGGAGGCAATTTGATAATCTCTTTTTGGATTGTTCTTCTCGAAGAATTCACTTGCATTAAAAACCAATATAAAATTTGTAGTGGATGTTGTGTTATATGAATTACTGTTAAGAACTTAAATATACACTGTACTTACAATGAAATAACTGATTATTGTGATCCCGAAATATGTTTTCTTAGACCTTCTGAGACTCCTATCCTGGTTGACTTGCTAACTCTGGGAAACTGGTTAATGTCGTCTTGATATTTTCTGTATTTATAGGATTTCAGAAATTGTATTTAAGATCATGTGTGACAAAAAAAACTCTCTCTGAACCCATAGTAACTGTGAATGATGTTGCAATCTAATTAAATTATATTATAGTTATTTGTATCGATATTGTTTTTTTAATTTTACGATTAAGAAGCTCTCCGTGAGATATCAATGATACTGTTTCAAAAATTGATTTCGGTTTCTACGTAATTTCGCAATCTACCAATCTCTGATGTCTCACGTTAAATGACTGGAAGCTTTTCTTCACTATATCAGCATTGATTCATAATTATCAAATGTGACATTTAAGGGCGAGCATGACTGTTAGGAGATCGATCTCCGAGACAAAGCGAAGTATATCCTTGGGAGAAAACATTTCTTATTCTCATTTCTTGGATTGGCAAATTCCGCTTGCACTTTAGAAGGACTTTGATGATACGTGACTGGATTAATTCGGAACAGACCGAATTGTTCGCTTGGAGAGTGGGAGGGGGACCTATTTATCGATATGTAAAATTCTTTGGTTATCACGTCTCTTGTTGAACTGGGACATGCTATGATATGTTCCAAATCATCTTCATTTCCTTTTTTTTTCTCTTATGATTGTATGTTAAACAATGATTTTATATTTGAGACTAAGAACATTTTCGAATTTTGATTTGTTTGTTATGCCAACCAAAGAAGGAAACGAAAAGAAGAAGAAGTAAAATACAAAGTAGAGGAAGAAGGAGAGGAAGAAGAAAAAAAGAGGGAGAAGAAGAACAACAACAATAACAAGAACAAGAAGAAAAATTTGAAGAAGGGGAAGACGAACAAGAAGGAGAAGAAAGAGAAGAAGAAGAAGAAGCAGAAGAAGATGAAAAGGAAGAACAAAATGAAGAATAAGAAACGGAAGAAGAATTAAAAAAAACATAAAGAAGAAGAAGAGGAAGAAGAAGAAGAAGAAGAAGAAGAAGAAGAAGAAGAAAAAGAAGAAGAAGAAAAAGAAGAAGAACAACAACAACAATAAGGAGAACAAGAACAATATGAAGAAGAAGAAACGGAAGAAGAACAAGAAAAATATACATATAAAAGGAAGGAAGGGGAAAACAAGATGAAGAAGAAGAGGAAGAAGAAGAAACCAAATACTTCTACTTATGCGCTTAGATGTTCTTAGTATTATTAAACCAACTAGAAAATGAAAAATACTCTATTTGTGTTAATATTTCGATGGATTATGATATTTTTTTAAATATCAGCTTACACTATATAAATAATGACTATATTTACGACAGGGATTTTCATCTGACAGTGTCGTATATTTTTGTTGGTGTACTTTCGTTATACCATGACTGCACGAGACAACTTTGTGTCCGCGTCATCATCACCACCACCACCACCACCACCACCACCACCACCACTACTACCACCGACACCACCACCACCACCACCACCACCACCATCATCATCATCATCATCATCATCATCATCATCTTTATCATCACAGTTAACACCATCATTAAATACAATATCATCATAAACACATATACCTGTATCACTCGCTTAATAGACCGACAGCCCACGAGACCGACAATACCAATCTTTACTCTTGTGAAACCTAATACCCCAGTCACACAGCCAAGCCCACTCCAAACCAACTGAGTTTTGGACATTTGTGGTAATGTAATCTTTTGTTCGGTATGTTATCGGTCTGGTGTCGGTCTCGTTCGTGTGACTGGGATATCAGAAAAGTTGCCATAAGGCCCGCACGATAGATCTGGTGGATGTTGGTCTTCTGGGCTGTAGCCATACGACTAACTAGTTCACAGTTTACAAACATACGTCTTCCATCATCAATCAACTTCTCTTCTTTCTAACGAGGTACAAAGTATACTAGAATGATCGAATGAGACGACATATGATTTTCAAACAACTTTAATTTTCTATGCATATGTATGCAAATAAATAAGACACACTAGTAATGAAATCATACAACAAAACAAAACAAAACAAAACAAAATAAAATAAGCGAAATAGAACAGAGTACAAAGTTGGACAAACAAAAAATGAAACTCATATGACATAAAGGCAAACTAAAAAATGTCTTCGTAATAATTATATAAATGTGTATATATGAAACATATATCAACAATACAAATTACACAGATATCAGGTTTTAAAGACTGAATTTAGGATTGAAACGAATGTTCATGAGATCTAGGGTTTTTTAATATGATGTGTTTCACAAATGATTCTGATTCCATTTTGAAGAGGCTTAGTACATCATACAGTTTAACAGTATATTCTCCCTTTCAGCTTGTGTAATACTGGTTGCATGTCGTCGATTTCCCTGCAGAAGGAAATGATACAAACAAAATGCGAAAAATAAATATAATAATAATAATAATAGCCTAATAGTCCACTCCAAATTGTATTAAACCGAAACGGAAATTCATTTTGCCCAATTGATCGTGAGCCCGGCAGCCACTGAGCAGCGCCAGATCGACGTTGCTCTATCCCTTATTGATGAACGCCAAACAAAGTAGCAACAAACTCCCATCTTTTAACGTCTTTTGGTATGACACGGCCGGGGTTCGAACCCACGACCTCCCGGTTGTGAGGCGGACGCTCTAGTGACTGAGCCAACACTCGGAATAGACAATTTATATCGTAGAACAAATTTTGATTATCATAAAGTACATGTACCTGTGACACATCAAACAATGATAATGAAACAAACACCATTCAATTATTTGATGCAAAACATTAACGCATTGAATTCTTAAATCGGTAACGAAACATTTCTACCAAGAAACTGAAGTTATTTTGTCGAACGATTGTTAGTCCTTGTACGTGACACGTGTATGACTAGTATCTAAGTTAAATCGAAATAACAATCGATTGAATTACAATGGTGTTTACGTATTCACGATTCATCTTTCTTCAATTGTTGCCCATATGAAAGCGTAGCGTTAATGGGATATATTTGTATATTTTTTAATGATATTAATGATATTAAATTCTTATAATTATTGTAAAATTTACATACTTACCATAATAAACAGTCAAATCTATATATTCTAATTATTTCAAATTAACATATCAACTCACCGGTATTTTAACAGCGTCCAATTTTAATCATTGCAAGCTTCCTGTTTTCTTTGGAACAGGCTTCATAGCTTAGATGACATGGGCTTGCATACGTTTTACCGTCTGAACCACACACCTTGTATTGCTTCACCATATTCGCTGGACATTTTGTGCATCCACGTTTGGTTGAACCTGTATGAACAGACAAAAAGATAACACACTTTAGAAATTATATATATATTTCTATGGCAGCTGTTCTTCGAGAGCATACGCGTGAATATTGAAAATAAAATTGTGTATTACAGGCTTATAATTTACAATTATTTTCGATGAGATGGCATTTTGTATGATTTTTTAAAATTATTATAATACATAGCTACGGCTAACACGCCTTGTTCAACGAAGTAGTGGGGGAGGGGGTCGCGATATTATGTGGATGCAACCCTATATTAAGCATTCCATCTATTTAAGCTTTATCATGAAGTGCATTTCCAACTTGATGGTATTAATCTCTTATGCCATAGGGTAGTCTCCACAAGGGGACCAACCAGTCCCTTTAAACATTGGGTTAAAACCATATTGATTTCGGACATTGGTATTTGTAATATTGAGAATTTTTTTATAACCTCTGTGTCTTCCTTACCACCGTTTCCACCTCCACCGTTGCCTCCTCCACCGTTGCCTCCTCCGCCATTGCCTCCTCCGTTTCCGCCATTTCCATTTCCACCGGTTTCACATAGTTCGCCACCAGCAAGGTTGCAACCACCATCCCCACCATCGCCTCCATCGCCGCCACCACCACCGCCTCCATCACCGCCACCACCGTCGCATCCTTCGCCTCCATTGCCATCGCAACCACCATCACCCCCATCACCACCACCACCGTCACCACCACCGTCTCCACCATCACCACCACCATCACCTCCGTCACCACCACCGTCTCCACCGTCTCCGCCACTCTGTCCACCGACCCATTTAGGAACGTAGATAGGGATGTATTGCGGGCGGGAAGGAGGGAACACGTTGTTGACACTGCCACCTGGATCCACACTGCTTTCTTCATAACCACCGCCGCCGTCTCCACCGCCGTCTCCACCACCATCTCCACCACCGTCTCCACCACCATCTCCACCACCATCTCCACCACCATCTCCACCACCGTCGCCTCCTCCATCTCCCCCGTCGCACTCTTCTTCACTACTACTGCTACTACTTCCTCCTCCTGTGCAACCGCCATCGACTTCCGGAGCTATAACAAAGGAAAAGAAGTGAGATGATTACGTTAGATATATATCAATCATATTTTCTCATTAAACCAGTATACTGCTTCTAATGTCGCATAAAACCAAATTAAATATCATAATCCACGTGTATTCTATATTCATTTGTGAATAAAAGCTGCACTTTAATTTCTTTTTAAACACACCATATATCAATCATTCAAAACTTACCTGAAACTCCACCAGCATCGCCACCGTCACCTCCATCGCAGCCACCATCACCTCCACATCCGCCATCTCCACCACCATCACCTCCTCCACAATCGCCGCCGCCACAGTCACCGCCGGCATCACCACCATCGCCTCCGCAATCGCCGCCACCACAATCTCCACCACCATCACCTCCATTTCCGCCATCACAATTATTACCGCTACAATCTCCTCCTCCGTCTCCACCATTGCCCCCATCTCCTCCTCCATCACATCCTCCGTCTCCACCGCCGCATCCTCCGTCGCATCCCCCATCTCCGCCACCACCATCGCATCCTCCTCCGTCGCATCCTCCATCTCCGCCACCACCACCATCGCATCCTCCTCCATCACCGGCGTCTGCTTCAGCATCGCCTTCTTCCTCACTGCTGCTGCTGCTGCTACCACCTCCACCACCACCATCGCCGCCATCGCCGCCATCACCACCGTCTCCACCTCCGTCTCCCCCTCCGTCTCCACCTCCATCTCCACCTCCGTCTCCACCTCCGTCTCCACCTCCGTCTCCACCACCACCGTCACCACCTCCTCCATCTCCACCACCTCCATCTCTTCCACCTCCATCTCCTCCGCCTCCATTACCACCACCGCCGCCATTTCCGCCACCCCCGCCGCCATTTCTGCCACCCCCGCCGCCATTTCCGCCACCCCTGCCACCATTGCCGCCGCCATCGCCTCCGCCATCTCCTCCTCCATCTCCGCCACCGTCTCCGCCACCGTCTCCTCCACCATCACCATCACCTCCTCCGTTTCCGCCACCATCTCCGCCACCGTCACCACCATCACATCCACCCCCAGTACCACCGTCGCACCCATCTCCTCCGCCGTCTCCTCCACCATCCCCTCCACCATCTCCTCCATCACAACCGTCTCCAATACTCCCATCACACGAATCTCCGTCTCCTGAAAAGGCGCACGTTAATTTTGATTAGTTTATATGGTAACATAAGTTTTGATGACTTTATGTAGAGTAGAATAAAACTATATAACGGGTTGCGATTGGCATGAAATAGAAAAATTGTCACCACTAAGAACGCCACTGAACGTCAAGCTGATAAATATTCCAATTATATATAACGCCTGTGGTATACACATTTTTGAGACCATACTTACTCTTAGTCATCGTGGGAAATGCCAAGGCGGTGTTTATCATGAACCCGAGACAGGCCAGGAGAGCGAACACTGTTACCGGCTTCATGCTGGTATGTGTCTACAACAGAAAACAAAAATAAAATAACACAAATAAAAAGAAACCCAACAACAACAACAACAACAAAATAACAAAATTATTCCATTGGAAAATCAAGGTGCTTAACAAACATAGATCCCTTTCTATTCCAGGTTTTTAATGTCGGCACCATCTCGATCAAATACTCTGAAGAATTGCATTTTGGATTAAACTTTAGTTCATCCTGAGGAAGCGCTATCCACACAATTAATGGCGCACAAAATGCCACAATTTTATTGAAGTTAGAAATACTGTCCATCGTTGCTGTATGAGAATAAGAATGAATGTCGTTTTGACAAATACTTACTTGTTAAACAATACAATTCCAGTAATTTATTATCGCGTTCCTCTCCTCGTACTTTTCTGTGTTTCAAGACAGCTCAAATGAGCGAATGATACTAACTTCCATGAGTATTGCTCTATTTATAATAAAATTCGGTTTAAAAACTCGATTGCACTTAATCACACGAATTTTGGGTGGATAGTCCGTACAATCTCGCTCCAATCAAACGACATATGCAAGAAATTGAGATTAATCTATACGCAAATTTCCAAAATGACCATGGGATCGGTTCGGCGGTCAAAAAGAAAAGCAATACATTTTCATAGCAAATAAAGACCTTCTCTGCTATCTTATTTGAGTAAATCAAAATGTAACACGCCCATTGAGCAGCTATTCGCATAGCCTGGGAAGACACGTGTTTCAAGGGTCGAATATCGTGGGCAATTTACTTGTATTTAACTTGAACTGTTGTTTTAATCCAAGAATGAGTCATGGCCATTTAGATCAAGAGTTTTCTCATTTGTCAACTGCAAAATTATGGACGTTGCGTGTATGGTAAATTTACAAAGAGATATTAAACTTATCGCATTCATATTGTGTAGGGTATGGTCAAGAGGTTTTACCTACGTCATAACAGGGAAACCCAAACTTGACAGCAAACGTCTCTATTAGAGAAAAGCAGAAAAATCTGACAAGCAAATTTAAGTTATGAATTTTTGACATATCGGCTGAATCGGTTATGTCTCTGTAATGTAATGGTTGACAACTTTCTACTTGTTACAACCCACAAAATGACTAAAATCTTTGTTTTCCTTCAAAATGTATGACTACGGAGGGCCTATTCTCTTTAGAGGAGCTATAATAATATGATATTCATAATACATTTTAGTAGAGTCCCAAGGGAGGAAGAACTTTGAAGAAAAACAGAAATGTATTATATTTTTGTACACGACAAACGGGAGTTATCCGCGACTACGTCACAATCCATTGACCAACTGCAAATTTGAGATTGGCATAGACTTAATGATCTCAAATTTGAAGCATTCATAACTTTCTCAGTATTGGTCCGATTTATTTCCAATTTTCGCCATTCGGTTAATCATATTTTTCAGATTTTATAAAAAATGAAAGTATTGAAAATATTGTTATGTATATCTTGCTTCTATGTTATATTACTTATGTTTTAATGTCCTTGTATCTTCTCCTTTGCACCCTTGTATCCCCCTCTCTCTCTCTCTGGCTCTCTATGGCTGTTTCTCGCTCTCCAATCTACAATGTCCAGATATATAAAAACAAATTTGTTTCTCATTCTGTCTCTGTCTATTCATATGTTTAGCTGGAATAACTACCCCCCCCTCTCTCTCTCTCTCTCTCTCATCCCTCGGTCCCAATAGTTACAGGCTCAACCCCCACATAATTATTACGCCATAGTCTGTCTCTCAGTCCATTATTTCTACCCATCCGATGTAGTTTATAATAATTTTTATCCATTGTGAACATTCACAATATCTGATGTTTCTAAAAAATGTTTGAATGATTTCTTTTGTTTGTATCATAAAGCGTACTTCATGTCATCATTTATTTACAAAGGATATTGGTCTCTTTTGGATCATTAGCACTGATATTCACTTCATCAACCAAATATGCCACTACATGTACGTCATTAAGTCCGTCTCTCTCTGTCACTTACTCTGCCAATCACTCATATCCACTTCGGAATCCTCAAAAAGTCTGACTTTTCACTATAAACGTGCGTGTTCACCCTCACACTTCCATGATATCATCTCTCCATTAGATTATGACTCAAGTAAAGCGAACTAATGTTGGATAAGAATATTTGCAATAACAAAATAGTTTTATTCATGTGTTGGAGTTAAGTTTACCATTGGCAAAACAAAACTTCTCATACATGATGAATTTTTGAATCCACAATATTAAACACAAAGTAGAAGTTATAATTTTAAAACATTTTTTAAAGTGAATTACCACCTCAGAAACATCTGTTTCTTCATTCCATCGTCGGACCATGGAACGGCATTAAAATATGATTATAATAAATAACAAAATAAATAAGTACATATTAAACAAGACTGACATACACATTTCGCTGCTAAATGGGTGAGAAATACCATCATCATTCCTGTTTGTTCCTCCTCACAGAACAACCAGTTTGAAGCTCTGTATAAATGCAAAGAAAAAATAAAACAAAGGAGGAAATTAGAAGAAACAAAACAAATAATTAATACAAAGAGGTTAATTCTTTGGAATGTAAAATAGTTATATAAATTGGACCATCATCTTGATTCTTAATAAAGGAACAATCACAATGCTATGAAAAATGAATTGCAATTGAGAGCGGGACTCTGATCAGCAGGATAACATTTCGGAAAGGAAATGCTAATCGTGTTCATACAATACCTTCATGCATTATGAAGTGTACGAGAGAAGTCAAAAGATCGAATAATAACATACAAAGTTGAAGAGTCGGTTTTTTAGAATAATCAGAATAAATCAAACTTATGATATTTTTGTTTCCAAACATTACACAGTATTCAGTAGTAATGAGGTATTATTTTTGTTCTGCCTTATTATGTCATTGTGAAGATATCGGGAAGTCATTGCCATCCCCCTCCTCTCCCCTTAACAAAAACGTGCCTTAGGGTTTAGGATAATTCTTTATTTAAAAAAAAAGGAAATTTATAGTATAGTCAGTATTGTTTAAGGGTTTTCATGTGGATCAAAGGGAGTCATTACAGTTACAACCTACCCTAAACTGCGATGCAGGTATTTGCCCCATTTCCATTGCCATTGTCATTTGCATCACATCCTCCACCGTTGTCGCCCCCGTTTCCGTTATCAGCACCGCTGTCGTTATCACCATTATCACCGTTATCGCCGTTATCGCCGTTATCGCCGTTATCACCGTTGTCTCCGTTATCACCGTTATCGCCGTTATCACCACCATTGTCACCACCGTTACCATTTTCTCCACTGGTGTCGGGGTTTCGGGTGCGGGTGCGGGTGCAGGGGCTGGAGCCGGGGCTGGGGCTGGAGCTGGTGCTGGTGCTGCAGGTGTTGCAGGTGCTGCTGGTGCTGCTGGTGCTGCTGGTGCTGCTGGTGCTGCTGGAGCTTGAGCTGGTGCTGCTGGAGCTTGTGCTGGTGCCCTTGGTGCTGGAACTGATGGGCTGTACACAGGTGGTAGTGGTGCGTGTGGAGCAAAGGCAGGGGGTGGAGCGAATCCTGGAGGAGAAGGTACAGCTGCAGGGGGTAGAGGAGCAGCCGCTGGCATAGCTGCACCTGGATATCCTGGAGCAGGGGCTGCAGCTCCTACCCCATATCCGGTGCCATGCTCACCAGAGTTACCATCACAGTCTCCAGAATCTCCGTCATTACATCCGCCACCATAACCAGCAGCAACACCTCCATTACCTAATCAAATAAACAAAAGCAATTATTTTTTTCAACCACTGATTAATAAACGCCTATGGATGTTGTATGAAGTAGTATTACTCTTCTTCCAACTACAATAACGTGAAATCAGTATTTTTGTTAATTTAGTAAGAACTACAATGATATCCATTTACAAAATAATCGATTTCATGAAAAGGATGCAAAATTATAAATTTATAAATTAATGAATGAATTAATATAAATCACATACCCGATGCTCCTCCACCTGGCGCGTAAGCCGCGCCAGGTCCACCAGCGTACGCGGCTCCATGCCCACAAGAACCGGAAGCGTCTCCATGTCCACAACCAGGTGCATAAGCTGCTCCACCGGCTCCAGGCGCGTAAGCCGCGCCAGGTCCACCCGGAGCGTAGGCTGCTCCATGCCCGAAACCGGCTGCGGCTCCACCAGCTCCAGGTGCATAAGCTGCTCCACCGGCTCCAGGTGCGTAAGCTGCTCCACCGGCTCCAGGCGCGTAGGCACCACCTGCAGCCCTATCGCCAGCACTTGCGTCTGCTCCAGCCCCGCCATCTCCTCCACCATCGGCTCCACCAGCTCCTCCGTCACCGCCGTCGCCGCCGTCGCCACCACCATTACCACCATCGCCACCATCGCCACCTCCTCCATCGCCTCCACTTACGCCTCCCCATCCTCCTCCGGTACCGCTTCCACCACCACTTTCCTCGCTGCTGCTGCTACTGCTGCTGCCACCTCCTACAAAACCTAAATTGAGAACAAATAAATTAGTTATTTACTTATGCCACATTTTTATTGTACAGAGTATATATATATAGCTAATTGTGAACCATTTTTATGCTGCTTTTTTGTTGGTATAAAATTAAACTCATGGTTGCAATAAATAAATAAATAATAACAATTACAAAAAAATTTATATAAAAACTTGTATTCTGTATATTTCATTTTAAATGTTTATTTTTTTCGTTTGTTCGTGTGTTGTTGCCAAATTCTGTCAAGATCTGTCGTTATTTTCAAGTTCTTCCAACCCTTCAAAGTTATGGATAGCCTTATTGCAACTTGGGACTACATACATTGTTATGGTGTAAGTTTTATCGCTTTCGCGGAGGTTCATTGATCAATTCCATGGATCAACTTATCATGTTCAATGTTAAGATAATCAATTGATCTGTGTATCATTAGATTTGTAATATTTTTAATATTAAATAATTTGTAATAACGTCTTTTTCGTATGAAAACAAATATTAACTGATTGCGCAATTGTTTTATCAGTGTTGTAACAACATTACATAAGAACTTTACCTCCAAATCCTCCGTATCCATGTCCCGCACCACTTGCATCAGCTGCGGCACCACTCCCACCACATCCTCCTCCATCTCCTCCTCCTCCGCCACATCCACCACCACCGCCTCCACCACTACCACCACCATCACCGCCTCCACCACTACCACCACAGGCACCACCTCCACCGCATGCTGTTAGGATAACGAAGAGAAAGATTACTTGAGATTAGTTAATGTGACAGTTAGCTTATCAAAGTAGCATAATTATAATAATAACAATAATAATAATACCAATAATAATAATAATAATATAATTGCAATTTGTGAAACGCATTTCCACTAGATTAAAAAATGTTTTCGTTGTATATAGATCATAAAAATACTGTTTCAATATTCAAATGATTTTTTATTTCTCATGCATAACATAATACAATGAAATGGCAATGTTATTTGCAATTGAATATAAGAATATTACAAAAAAGCAAAGCAGAGAGAGACTAGTTCTTCGGAAACTGTTTTATAATATGTCTTGAAAACAAAGTTTGTCTCGTAGATTCCCTTTGTTTGCTCGAATCTATAAGAATCCAAAAACTGGACATAGAGACACTTTTATACATATTAGCAATGTTATATATTGATAAATATAGACTTTAGTCTACAATTGCCACCATCCTCAGATTTAGGAAATTGATACTGCTTGACGAAAGCCAGAGTAACAGTAATACTTCTACTTTTACACTGGTAGTGTAGGCACATTAAGCATCCTATGGGATGATTGAAATAAAAATGTACATTAAATTATAATCATTAATTGTATAATTAGACATTTGTCTCAACTTCCATAAACGCGGCCTGTAAAGATTCCTCTGAAATAGCAACTACTTACCAGGGGCTGTTACAGCATTACCAATCAGTACGCTTAGGCAGACTAGGGTGGAAAGATTTTTTACAAAATTCATGATGGCTCGAATGACTATTTTCTGTTACTTGTGAGGAAATTTTCCCAACTTTCCTGTGATGAATGTTCTCTGAATATCTCCAGAGGAACTGATGCTTCTTGCTTTCAGCCTCTCATTATATATACCCTTCTCTATCTATTGTCATCGCCATTGTATTTGCTCTGACCGAAAACACTGCGTCTCCTTAGACCTTCTTAGAAAAGTTAACAACATCGATTGCTTTTCATAAAGAGACCTAAACATTTCTGTTTAAAAAAATAGAAGAAGAGCGGAAGAGAGCCAATAAATAATGATGAGAACCGATAATTCGTCTTGGTCAAATTAAATAATGATTCTTTAATTGTTTCCTAAGATGTTAGCCACTAACTACTGGTATCACATGGACATCTGCGCTTGCATGCAAAGCAGCAACACAGAAGCATCAATCTGAGATTGGATATCGTCACATTCATTAGCAGTTCTTGTTTGCTTGACCTAGGGACATCACATTCAGTAGTGCGTCATATAAAAACATGAACAAGTGGTTGGATTAATGGAGGATAACAAATGAATTTCCGCAGTCTATTTTCTTTTTTTCATTACACTCTCACATTAAGCAACATTCGCAAACTAACAACTTTGCTTATAAAGGCCCGAAAAGTCTGGGAATTTCTTCATTTCATCATATATGGTGGAAAGATTCGGTAAAATGATACTAAGTATTGTTAGCTATTAATTTGGAAATGTTCGTTTATTTGTTTTGATTTTATTTATGCACTTTTCAATATAATAAAAAGTAATACACAAACTAGGTACATATATATTTTTAACAAAAGTTGAGATACATATAAAATCATATCATAATATGAATCAATTAAATGATTATAACTATAAAAAAGGGTAGTTGACAAACCATTCAAAATTGAAAATTGCAGGAGACAACCATCTCACGCGAGTGCTTGAACCTGATGGCAGCTTGAGGAAAGGGCCCACCCTTATGGAACAATCACAGTGTTGCCACACTATGTTCACATAGTCAACTTTGTGTAAACTGTGTGGGCATTATGTGTTTACATTGTTGTCACAGTTTGGAGTTTCAGACCATGTGGTTTACCACATAATATCCACATAAACTGACATAATTAACACAGAGTACCAAATGTTTACAACAGTGTTATATGTATTGAACTATATGTGTTAACTCTGCAGTATTGCCACAGTATGAGGTTCAGATCATGTGGTGTACCACGTAGTCGTGCAAATTAAACACAGAGTGACACCTATTTCCCAAAAGGGTGGTATGTACTGAACTATGTGTAAACTCTATGTTCACAGTATTTTAACAGTGTGGGGTTCAGATCATGTGGTTAACAACATAGTCGTACATGTTTAACACAGAGTGACACATAATTATTTACCACAGTGTGGTATGATTCACTATGTGAAAAATCTGTGCTCACAGTATTGTCACAGTGTGGGGTTTGGTTGACCACATAATCGGTCATATTTGATACAGAGTGACACATATTTACCACAATGTGGTATGTATTTAACCATGTGCAAACTCTGTGATCACAGTATTGTCACAATGTTGGTTTTCAGATCATGTGGTTTCACAGCTAGGTTTCTTAGGGCCCTGTTTTAGTATACATTTAATATAATATACATGATCATGATGAATGTACTTTTTAATATTTCTTCTTCTTCTTACATACCCTTCCTTTTCCTTTATTCTTATATGCTCTAATCTGAAGTAGGTTTTTTTGTTTATAAATTATTCCTTGATATGGTATAACAGTAGGGTTTCAACAGTAAAGTAAGTATACTCAAAGAAATTATATTCGTTTAACATGTCAATAAGGTATTTTGCATAGTTTTCACATTCTCTACCGTTCTTGCCTTCGTACAGAACTCTTCTCTTTACTGGATTTCATTAACAACTCTTATGGAATGTGGAATGAATGAATTAATGCGGCGACTAGTTCTTGCTTTTATAGAGATATCAATCTGCGTCCGCTTCTAAGATGTATGTACTGGTCATTAAGGGGTGGGTTAGATCAGACATAATGGATAGGGCCTTAGATACCACTCTTTCCTGAATACATACTTCATCTAGGTCAACAATACGGTTCATTATTTTGCTGGCTTGTTTTACAACCCTTCTCAGCTTTTGTTTGTCACTTTGCTCCGGGACTTTGCTTTGCATTATTAAACCAGATAATGGAATCAAATGTGAAAGTACTCTGAATGATTTTCTTATTTCACACTCTATACATATTCAACGATGAGAATAATTTGTAATCATGATTGAATTTGTCTTTATATTGTACCCTTACTAATTCATTGTTTATATATTTCACAAATTACTTTCAACTGGTTTCTATTGTAATGAAATTCCCATGGTTTCCTATTGTTATATTCATGTCTATTGTCATGTTAAATTTGCAATTGATGTACACTTTCTTCTTCTGTAATTGTCTTTACTTGGATCTGTTTTTGTTCCCTCTGTTTGTAATTTGTATATGTTTTTTTTTTAGATATGTAAGTTTAGTAACAATTTAACCGTAAAGGTTGCGAGTTTTCAGTAAAATAAATCTTGAATCTTGAATAAGCTATCCATAATATCTTTTGAGTAGTGCTCTTACTCCAGGGGAAAAGGCACTTAGGAGACAAACCTAAGTTAGCTATACGGCAAACGAAGAACGAAAATGCCAATTTGAGATTGGCATAAACTTAGAGATACCATATTTCATTATTCATAAATCTTATTATGATTGGTCCGATTTATTTTGAACTTTCGCCATAAGGTCTAATACATTTTCAGCTTTAACAGAAATGATATTAATACAAGGGTCGGATTACCCTTTAATGTAATCGAATTTCTGATACAATTATGCTTCCAATCAACATAACATTACTTATTTATCAGAATGTATTCAATATTAAGATTGAAAACAATTGTAATACGTACTGAATTTATCATATATCTATAACAAATGAATAATTACATAATATACATATAAAACAATCCCCACAGCTATAATGAAAAGCGATGTTCATATTATGTCGTCTTAACAATGTATGGAAGTCACTTGTCAAGGGATTTAAGTTCATTAACATAAACAAGTTATTACCATCAGTTAATATCAAGTTCCATGTCCCCTACAATCATTTTGATTATTACACCCTTTTTAACTTATAGGTTGTGATGCAATACACTTATAGAGGTTCGGATCTGGTGTATATTAAGTAAAAGAATCATTGAGCTTTCGTATTCTTTGTATTCTATTATCGAAGAATATCATGGTAAATGCCCTCCTAATCGAAATGTGATTAAAAATACCTTCTCTTCATATTAAATGTGTGAAAAGTAACATTATTATTTCTGAGTGTAGTGTATTTGATTTTTCGCAAGATTTGGTAAGTTTCTGTTCATTTTGACCGCATAATAAATCTATTCTTGCATGTGCACTACACAATTATCCAAACTTTCTCAGTAGCTTCTAGTTTCTTTTGACCAATTCAACTACGGACATCACTAGCGTATTGATTACAATCTGTTTCACTTCTAATGTTGTGAAACTATTGATATGTTCTGTTAATGATCATGCTCTTGTTCCAGTCATTTCATGACATAGGTCTTGCTTCACTGTAAAAAAAGTTGGGCAATATTTTTTAACACTTTTCAACCCAACCATCTATTGGGCAATATTTTCGTATTTTGCCCAACAGCTGGTCAGGATTGTCCCAACAAGTGGGCTACCGTAGTCGGGCATATGGCAAGCCGTTTTATCATTTAAACATATTTCTTGATATCAAGAAATGAATTCTTGATATCAAGAAATCGAATTCTTGATATCAAGAATTACCATTGCTTTACAACGTAAAATCATTTCTTGATATCAAGAATTCAATTCTTGATATCAAGAATTCGATTTCTTGATATCAAGAATTCGAATTCTTGATATCAAGAAATGAAGTTTAGATATTAAGAAATGAATTCTTGATATCAAGTAATCGAATTCTTGATATCAAGAATTGATTTTACGTTGTAAAGCAATGGTAATTCTTGATATCAAGAATTCGATTTCTTGATATCAAGAATTCATTTCAAGAAATATGTTTAAATGATAAAACGGCTTGCCATATTGCCCAACTTTTTTTACAGTGTTCTATTCTATAGTACTTATGATTCTATATCCTTATATCTTCTCCTTATATATATATATATATATATATATATATATATATATATATATATATATATAATATCTCCCTTCTTTCTAGAATGTCCAGCTATATTAGACCAAAATTTATATCTCATTCTGTTTCTTCCCTTCATACTTTTAGCTTAGATTACTTCTCTCTCCCTCTCATCCCTCGGTCCCCATAATTATGGGCTCGGCTCTACACAATTATGATTATGTTTGTCTCTCAGAGCTATATTTCTACCCATCCGATGTACATGCAGTCTATATAAGAACTTAATCCATTGTGAACATTCATACCACTTGTTGTTTCTAGAAGATTATGAATGATTTCTCTTCTGCATACTTCACGTTTTCAATCATTTACAAATTAAGGATAGGAGTCTCGGATCATCAGAATTGATATTCATTTGGTCAACCAAATATGTCACTTCGTCACGTCGACCGTCTCACCCTGCCACTTACGCTGCCCATCACTCATATCCTCTTTCTCATATAGTCTGACTATTCACTTACTTTCATATTCATCCTCACACTTTAATTAAATCAACTCTCTACTAAATTATGACTCAAGAAAAGCGAAGTAAGGATGGATAAGAATATTTGCAATAATAAAATAGCTTTATTCATGTGTTGGAGTTAAGTTTACCATTCGCAAAACAAAACTTCTCATTTTATGAATGTCTGAATCTTCAATAACACAAAGTAGAAATAATGCTTAATTACATTTTTTAAAGTGAATTACCACATCAGAAACAAACGTTTCTTCATTTCATCGTCAGACCATGATTATGGAACGGCGTTAATAAATAATCATAATAAATAACAAAATAAATAAGTACATTGTAGACGAGACTAAAACACACATTTAGTTGGTTATTGAGTGAGAAATAACCATCACCATGCCTGGATTTTCCTCCTCACGCAATCAACCAGGTCGAAGCTCTGTATAAATGCAAAGTAGAAAAAATAAAGGGGAATATTAGCAAAAAGAACTAGTAATAAATACAAAAGACGTTAAGTCTTTGTAATGTTAGACTTGTAAAGTGAAACAAAAAGTTATATTAAAGGGACCGTCATCTTGATTCCTAATAAAGGAACTATCAAAACTCTATGAAGAAGAGCGAGATTATGATCAGCAGGGTAACATTTCGGGAAGGATAGGCTAACTGATTTCATAAAATAAGTCTTTCCTTCTTAATACTATACTGAATTGCACTATAGAGAAGACAAAAATTCGAATGATAAAATACAAAGTTTAAGAGTAGGATTTAAAGTAAATTCCAGAATAAATGCAAGCAAATCAGTGTCACGAAATATGCTTATCTTTATTAGATACTTCAGAATGTATACAAGTTATGATATTTTTGTTTCGAAACATTACACAGTACCCAGTAGTAATGAGGTATTTTTGTTGTTGTACCTATTACATGTATGTGAGTGTGATGATATTGGGTAGTCACCTCCCCTTACAAGTACGTGTATTGGGGTTTAGTATATTCTTTTCAAAGTAAATTCGGGTATAATCAGTGTTGTTCGAGGTTTTTTGTTCGTGTGGATTTTTGTTTTGTTTTCATGAGGGACAAAGGGAGAAAGTAAAGTTACCACTTACCTTAAGCTGCGTTACAGGTATTTTCGCCATTTCCATTTCCATTGCCATTGCCATTGCCATTTGCATCACATCCTCCACCGTTGTCACCCCCGTTTCCGTTATCAGCACCGCTGTCGTTATCACCATTATCACCGTTATCGCCGTTATCGCCGTTATCACCGTTGTCACCGTTGTCTCCGTTATCACCGTTGTCTCCGTTATCACCGTTATCGCCGTTATCACCACCATTGTCACCACCGTTACCATTTTCTCCACTGGTGTCGGGGGTTTCGGGTGCTGGTGCAGGAGCTGGTGCAGGGGCTGGAGCTGGGGCTGGGGCGGGTGCAGGTGCAGGGGCTGGAGCCGGGACTGGGGCTGGAGCTGCAGCTGGAGCTTGTGGAACTGGAGCTGGTGCCCTTGGTGCTGGAACTGGTGGGCTGTACACAGGTGGTAGTGGTGCATGTGGAGCAAAGGCAGGGGGTGGAGCGAATCCTGGAGGAGGAGGTGCAGCTGCAGGGGGTAGAGGAGCAGCCGCTGGCATAGCTGCACCTGGATATCCTGGAGCAGGGGCTGCAGCTCCGACCCCATATCCGACGCCATGCTCACCAGAGTTACCATCACATTCTCCAGAATCTCCGTCATTACATCCGCCACCATAAGCAGCGCCAGCACCTCCATTACCTACTCAAATGAATGACATAGGAAGACAAAACAAAAAAATTTGTTCCTATTGAGTTATGAATGCATAGCAATGTCATTTGCTCAAATGGATAACACGGTCCTTTGAAGTATTACTTTTATTTCAAATACAATGACATGATGTGTAAGGTGGTATCATTTTATTTATTTAATGAAAACTACAATGAATAGATATCCATTTACTAGATAATCTGAATAGTAGCTACCCCTTCCAACAAGGGCGCTTTGATGAAAAGGATGCAAAATGATAAATTAGTTCATATGTATAACATACCCGATGCCCCTCCAGCAGGTGCATAAGCTGCTCCACCGGCTTCAGGTGCGTAAGCCGCACCAGGTCCACCCGGAGCGTAAGCTGCTCCATGTCCACAATAACCGGAACCGTCTCCATGTCCACAACCAGGTGCATAAGCTGCTCCACCGGCTCCAGGCGCGTAAGCACCACCTGCAGCTCTGCCTCCACCACTTGCATCTGCTCCAGCCCCGCCATCTCCTCCACCATCGGCTCCATCAGCTCCTCCGTCACCACCGTCGCCACCACCATTACCACCATCGCCACCACCTGCATCTCCACCGCCTCCACTTACGCCACCCCATCCTCCTCCGGTACCGCTTCCACCACCACCACTTTCCTCGCTGCTGCTACTGCTGCCTCCTCCTCCAGAACATAAATTGAGAACAAAGTAAGTTATTTACCCGTGCCACCGAGAGTGGTACTGTATATATCTTTTAAATGATGGACTTTTTTTAACTGTACATTTCATTTGAAATGGTTCTTTTTTTCGTTCATTAGTGTATAAGACCGAGGAACTTGGAGAGGGGCTTGGAGAGACACTTGATATGGAATTTTTAATGGGGCACTGAACCTGTCATGAACTGACAGATCACTATTGATGATGAGTGTATAATTGCCAACTTCTTCCAAGATCTGTCGTTGTCTTCAAGTTCTTTAAACCCTTCAAAGTTATGGATAGCCTTGTTGCAAATGGGGACTTCATAAATTGTTATGGTCGATAGTTTAAGTTTCTTCGCTATTACGGAGGTTCACTGACCAAATTCCATGGTTTAATTTATCATATTCAATGCTTTGATAATCGATTGATCTGTTATTGTTAGATTTTTAATATTTTAAAAATTGAATAATTTGTATATGTTTATTTCGTAAGAAAACAAATATTAACCGATTTCGCGATTGTTTTACCAGCGTTATAACAACATTACATAAGAACTTTACCTCCAGATCCTCCGTATCCATGTCCCGCACCACTTGCATCAGCTGCGGCACCATCTCCACCACATCCTCCTCCATCTCCTCCTCCGCCACATCCACCACCACCTCCGCTGCCACCATCACCACCTCCACCACTACCACCACAGGCACCACCTCCACCGCATGCTGTAAGGATAACGAACAGAAAGATTACTTGAGATTAGTTAATGTAGAAGTTAGCTCATCAAAGTAGCATAACAATACTGATAAATATGATAATAATAATAATGATAATAATAACAATAATAATGAAAAATAACAAAAATATTAGTAATAATAATAATAATACTAATAGTTGCAATATATGTAACGCATTTCCACTTGACATAAATTGCTTCTAACACGTTACCAGAAAGATACAAAGCATGTAACTATCGGTACAGTGCCAATGGCAATTCATCATGCTTTCGTCTACTGATCATTTATTAACAAAATATATTATTTAGAGATCATATACTGTTTATCTTTTTAATTGCCTTTGTTTGCTCGAACCTATAAGAATACCAAAACTGAACATAGAGACACTTGTATACATATAAGCAATGTTTTAGGTTGATGAATTGTACATGTACTCCTCTAAAATAGCGACTACTTACCAGGGGCTGTAACGGCACTACCAATTAGTACACTAAGGCAGACTAGGGCGGAAAGATTCTTTACAAACTTCATGATGGCTCGAATTTTCTCAACTTTCCTGTGATGAATGTTCTCTGAATATCTCAAGAGGAACTGATGCTTCTTGCTTCCAAACTACGTAATTTATACTCTTCTCCATCAATTGTCATCGTCATTGTATTTGCTCTGACCGCCAGCACCTTAGACCTCCTTTCAATAGTTAACAACATGGACTGCATGTGCAGACTTTGCATAAAGAGACCTAAACATTTCTTTCAAAAAAATAGAAGAAGAGCGGGAGAGAGCCGAAAGAAACGATGATGAGGGCCGATCGTTCGATATAAAACTGTCTTGGTCAAATTAAATAACTATTCCTTAATTGCTTCCTTAGATGTTAGCCATTAACTACTGATATCACACGTACATCTTAGCAAGCATGCAAAGCAGGAACACAGAAGCATCAATCTCAGATTGGATATCGTCACATTCATTAGCAGTTCTTGTTTGCTTGACCTAGGGACATCATATTCAGTAGTGCGTCATATAAAAACATGAACAAGTGGTTGGATTAATGAAGGATTAAAAACAAATTTCCGCAGTCAACATTTTTCAGTACAGTTTCACACTAAGCAACATTTTGTTTAGGCCGAGAAGTCTAGGATTTTGTTGTATTTCATCATAAATGGTGGAAACATTCCGACAAATAATACTACAAGCCTTGCAATGTTCCATAATGATTAGTCAGCCATTCATTACTATTTCCTAACGAAAATGTTTGTTGGAAACATGATATTACAGGTCCCCCTCTGTGAAAAAATTATTCACTATAGCAAATTCAATCATTTTGATATTCATAAGATTTACGAGCTCACAATGGGAACCATAAGTTTTTTTTGTATTTGTTCAGGGATTTTCAATAGTCATATATATATTTTTCACTTCGGGGAATTTTTAAAAATAATAATGTCATGACTGTCACTGATCAGTTGCTCTTCTCCTTTTTTACTTTTATTTTCCTTTATTTTATTTAAACAATTTTAAACAACTTTAAACCAAATTACTCATGGAGTTGTAATTGCAATTAAGTCTTTATATTCTAGAATGAGGGAAATTATACAATTCTACGTAAGCTCTCAGTTTTATATTCAAACTTTCTGTCGTTCGATCATTTATTCACTTTTTTGTTCTCTCTGTCCAGTTTGATTATTGATGAAATTTTTCATTTACACGGTTTATGTTCAGATTTCTAGACTACAAGTGGATATCGAATTATATACACAAAATGGATTATCTCATAATTATACAAATTGTATTAAACACCATTAAATTTCAAGTTGAAGTATAATCATGAAATTGCATCATCATTGAAATTATTTGTCATTGAATAAGTATAAATATACCTCTATGATCTGAGAAAAACATATACTAACAACTATATTTCAGCTCAGTAATTGCACATACAGCTATTGAATATATTCTTAGCAGGAAGTTTTGTAGGCATTTTGCCATCACAGAAATCATATCTCCTTTTTTTCTTCAACATGTTTAAGATGAGACAAATTGTTTGATGTAATTGATAGATAGCTGACATTTAGACGGAAGCAATCAATAAACGTCTTAATTTCGAAATACTTCCGTTAGGGGTACTTTGGGGCTTTCTTCACGACGTTTTACCTGAAGAAACATGTTTTTGTTTTAAATAAATTCTACACGGTGTTGTTGCTTTTCCATATTACAAGGGTTGGATTGTCATTTAATGATAGAGAGAGAGAGAGAGAGAGAGAGAGAGAGAGAGAGAGAGAGAGAGAGAGAGAATAAACAGTTTTTTGATTCACAACTGCTTACGAATGTAAAAGGGATTGCGATAACAGAATAAAATCTGGAGGTAGACTTTCTCTTCTTTTTTTTCTTTTTTGGTTTACTTTTTAAAGACACAAATCATGAATCCCCCCACACACACACCAACACACACACAAACCATGAGGTTCTTAAACGGAAGACTCTACTTCAAAGAAGACCCTAAATGTAGTTGCACTATTTTAATGCAGGGTGAACCACAATAATTTGAGATTTCTCAAATATTGAACAAGGGCAAGTTTATCAATGTGTAAAAACACGGACGGTGCTTATATCGTAATCGACTTTGAAAATAGTCATGGATAAATCTAGACTACACTGTCTGATCCGGGGAAGGCAGTGGCGTAGACAGGTTCGTACACCTGGGGGGGATGACTCAGGGGCGGATCTAGCTTTTTGCTAAGGGGGGGGGGGTTAACCAATAATGACGATGCGGAGCATCGTCCACGAGCCGCGAAGCGGCGAGCCGATTTTTTTTTGGGGTGTTTATTTCATTATTTGAACCCCGTAAGTGATGTTTTCCTGGCATCTATTAACACAATGGAGACCATACAAAGCAGTGCATGATAACGTCTTTTTAAATCAAGTAACAGTTAAATACACAGTTATATCCAGAGTTATCATGTGTTTGGTTAAGTTACCAGATAAGTTGAATATCTTCTCACAATATTTGCACTTGAAAGGGTTTCTCTCCAGCGTGCGTTCTTTTTTCTTTCTTTTTTTTTTTTTTTTTCCTTTCTTTTTTTTCCCTTTTTTTTTTTTGGTTTCTTTTTTGGGCCGCCCAAGGGGGGGGTTAAACCCCCTAACCCCCCCCCCCCCCCCCCGTAGATCCGCGCCTGTTTAATCTTGTGGTTATCTTGTGGTTTCCAAACCACAAGATAACCACAAAATACTTGTAAGATTTTCTTTTTTTTACCGTCTGAATTGGCTTTCACCGTGTGAATGCGGCTAATAACAATAAACACAATTACAATAATGATGAGGATTATTATTATCATCATCATAATTATTATTATTATTATTAATATTATAATTGTTATCATTATTAATATTACTATTATTATCATCATTATGACTTATTAAGTAAGCAAATATCATTCCCCAAAACCTGGGGGGGATGATTGTACATGCCATCCCCCCCACCTTGTGAGGTGGGGGGGATGCATCCCCCTCATCCCCCCCGTTGTCTACGCCCCTGGGGGAAGGGCATATTAACCCCCGTTAATCCTTACAGGCTTTTTATGAAATAAAAAGATATTAATTTCTCCGAATTTGTATTCCTAGGGGAAGGTTTTTCGGCCCTTCTTAAAGGGACTTGTTAGAATTGTTAAGATGAGAGAAAAAATGTGCTAAGGTAGTGACTTCAATGCAATTTGTACAATTAAAGATAATGTGAATGTTTGAGTGAAAACAAAACATTATTACTAAATGATGAAAATTGGAGAAAACTAATCTGATCGATTCCTTTATTCCCTCAGCTATATCATTACGATTTAATTACATTATAGGTGAATTTAAATTGTCATAAAGCAATTAATTGCCTCTACGTACCATTCCAGACATTTAAGTGTTGACATATTTTTTAAAGCCTGTCTAATGTCTTATTTTCATGGAAAAAAGGTTGGGAAAATTCAAAAATGGTTGGGAGAATTTACTGTTAGAGAGTGTTCCACATTGACGCCTTCAAAGAAAACAACCACAAATATCTTTGTGGTTTGAGAATGTTTTCAGGATTTGTTTTCATGTTAGAGGGGTAGTACAGTAGAAGGAATATAATACGTAACATGTCATTTCATACAAAAATTACGCAGTTTTTTATCGACTGTCAACAATGTTTCCGAGTCACATTAAGTTTTGGAGTGAGCGGATTCCCACAGGAGAAAAATATATCAGGGAAAAACAAAATGAATCCTACTCTCTCACCTCAAAACCTTCTAGCGACTCTGAGACAGTTGACGTAATTTTTATTACCACATTAGGGAGAGGAGTTGGGGACAATAGTATAATACAGATTATTAATACTTAATATTTTCAATTCATTTAATAAACTTTCATTATAAACTAAAACATATTTAGATATACAGTTTTTTTTCAATACGCAATACAAATGCCCAACGTGCTCAGCCAACATTGGCAATGGAAATAAAGAAGTTTATTGCACAAACCTTTCGTCACAAATGATGCAAATACAATTTCTGAAAATTGATAGGACACGTAACTATTCCTCAAATTTGACCTACTACTTTGTTTTAAAGAATATCACTTTGTAGGGCATTTTTGGCAGGAGATACAAATTATTTGCTTTCTCAAGAATCAGGCATACTAATTGCATTAAGACACTCATGAGCAATAACGATTAAAAACATTATAGCGTCTGGGCGTTCTTTTTCTCTTTGATCTTCGAATGTTCTCTGACTCACACTTCTTGGATCATTTATGTGATCGCCATCTTCCGCATCTGTTTCGGCGACCTCCGCTGCGACGACGGGAAGGTTAATGTGCCCTAGATAGTAGATAAACATCATGAGGGTCATACATCATCCACTCAGCATGCTTAACGATGATATGTGCCGGGGAATTCGTTTCCGCGATCACGTGATACTGTCCTGGACACGTGATTGGTGACTTGGAGACTTCGTTAAGCTTTGGCCTGCAAAAACTGAAAAGAGTCGTGACGAAATTGTTTGTGCCTTGTTCATTTGCTCAATGAGGTTCACTGTCAGATGAATGTATTTCTGCAGGCAACTGATCGTCGTATTTCTGTAACATGGTAAGCTTCAGAGTGTTTTTGTGGTATTGCTCTCTCTCTCTCTCTTTCTTTCTCTCTCCCACTCTCTCTCTCTTTCTCTCTCTCCCTCTCTCTGTCTCGCTCACACCCTCACTTCCATTTTATCTATTAACTGTCTATCGCTCTGTTTTACTGCCACGTTTGTTATTTCTCTCAACATATTTTCTCTCTCTCTCGGCCTCACTCTCGATATTTTCCCCTCTAAATTTATTGTTTGTTCAGTTTCCCCTACCCTCTTTTCTTTTTCTCTGACATATTTCCCATACTGTCTGTTGATTTAGATTTATGCAGATATTGCTGAAAAACTATAAGTTTTAGGAAAGTCCGTCGATCGAATGTCTTTATATTCATGAAATAGTTATCGTTGAAGTAGTTTTCTACATATACATGTACGTGCATTTTTTTAGCATTAGTCATTTATATTTTAGCACAGTACTAGTGTACTAGTGAAACGTTATACATTTTGACAGCCACACAGGCACAACATGAAACGCAAAATACGATGAATATTTATAATGTTAAAAAATAAACGAATTTTATTCATTCATTAGGTTTCGATATCCTAAAGAACTGTACAGTGATTCATCTTTGTTGCCAAACATCAATGTCAAAGTGTATGGGAAAATAAGAAAATGCTCTTATTTACCATATTTGTTTTTTTCTTCCGACGCTAAAAGGTTCTTCTTTCTTTGAAATGTATATACATGTACAATGAACGCTGGTTTACTTCTAGATGTAAAATCATAGTTTTTATATTTTAATTTTTTGGGTTACTATTGTTCTTCATCACTTATTATTTGAATGCTCCTAATAGCAATGCTCCTAATGCTAGGTTTAATTTTACATTTCATGTTATATATTAAATAAGTGTAAAATATAGTGCATAGGGCGTGAGGCGAACTGTCACAAAATGATTAGACGAAGCTTACTTTTTCTTACTGATTTTGGACCAATCTTAGAAGTTCTTACCTTTAAACAAAAAATATTAAAACACTGACATGCTCTGGTGATAGTTGCTCCGCGTCAAATTTTAACACGAACTTACGAAAGTACTAACTTTAGACGTGGACAAATTACACAATTAATCCTAAAAGTCCTCTTATTGTGAGAAGAAGTCAAATCTCGAATTTGTTAGTACTATTTATGTCATTGCCTATACGAAATATATTTCAACTAGTTTAATCGGTTTCCAAAATAAAGTAAAAATGTCAACTTGATCATTCGTATCAAACAAGGTAAATATCTTTCCGTTTTCTAATAACGAAGTTATATAACGAAGTTATACAAGTAATGCTTTAAGAAACACATTTTCAAGAGCAAAAATAAAATAGGAAGAACGACTTCCATAATTTCAATATGAAAAATCGAACTACCATAGATACAAAAGTATTTACAGTTGATGCACCCCCTCCAAAAGATAGAATAGTAGGCTGATGGGTTTAAATTACATCATTTTTGGCAGTGTACCCTTTACATTATGATGGTCTGAAACAAACAAACCACAACCGCCAACTGCTTTTTAAAAAACATAAAAAAAACTCTAGGGTACATTGTCCAATAATGCTTTCGGACACGTCCTCGTATAAAACAGCATCAGTTTCAGAAATCACAATAATCAATAAACACATCGGTTGATTTTCACTTTGATGTGATGACGTTAATCGGAGCTATTCTGCTCTCTTCATGCAGGGGAGTAAAATTCCATTCTTCTAAGAGCCGTAATAGGGATCGATCTGTATTAGAGTTCAATCTATTTAATTTCAGCAATACAGCTGAATAATGCATTCCAAAGTAGTAGTTATAAACAAAGAGAGAGTGGATTTCTATCTTTATAGCGTAGATTTCGACTCCAATCAAGATGATCGATAGTGTGACTCCTAAAGTAAGTGGATTCCAACTCCTGCACATTTAGAGATTAGCATTTAGTAGCAGGCTTTCTGATTGTTGCACAAGAGCTCAATGATCACACAGAAAGAACTACAATCTACTTTTTAAGTTGACGAATGTATATTTTTCTAATTTTTCTCTCCGTTGTTTACGGTATAGCGAGATTGCATCCTTCTTGATCCAGTTTCTTGGTGAGTCCGGGATCTCTACAAATGGCGATCCATAGCTGACAGGCATTCTGATATGTCGTACCTTTGTTGTCACACAGCGGCTCATAGATGTCCGGGCATACGACATCACAGAAATCTGACAGAGAACAAAAATATACACAACACAAAATAATACATAAATCAATATCCAACCCGATGTATCTTAAAATATAAAGGAAACTTCCCCCTTTCCCCAACTTTGGCCCACCATCCATTTCGGAAACAAATATATAATCAAAATAAATGATAAACATCATGGTCCACATGCCTACGGACAACAGGAAATAATTTCACTTTTGTGAATCCTGAACTGACGCACATGAAATGAAAAATGAAAAATATTCATTGTCAAATGAATACGCGAATAAATAACAATGATAAAATTAAGAAAAAAAAATCATTAAAAACAAATAGTGATAGGCCTAACTATAGCAATAATGATATCAATTATAATAATGATAATAATAGTGATGGTCATAATAATAATGATAATGTTAATGACAATAATAATAATAATAATAATGCTAATAATAATATTATCATGATAATAATAATATCAAACATTATTAAAACGATCGCATAAAATCAACCCGAGGCACTTCCTACATCTTGTATTCCAAATCGACTCGATCGGAGGGTAATTTCAATACGTAATATTGTAGGTAATACGTCATTTTCATGTTAGCTCAGTTTAGTAAGTGACCGACAAGGATACAGGATACTCACACTACCTTAGGTTGATTTGTAATCCTATTATGAAAAAATAACTGATCTTGCATTGACCTTTTCTTGTTGAAAGGTTCAATAAAAAATGTCGCCTATCTGCAGAAACAAATGTTTCACCTTTTTCATATACCTCAGTCACACCGCAAGACCAAACCCAAAACGACCGATTTTCGGTCATTTGAGGTAGTGTAATAACTTAGTTCGTTCTGCAGTCAGTCGGATGTCGGTCTCTTTGGTGTAACTGAGGTATTATTAACATACCTCCTGAACATCTGCCTCTGTAAGCCACAGTAATGGGAGATTCCTTGTCTTTGCAAGTTTCAACTGAGAGGGCGCACAGCGAGGAATATGTCTTGCCATTGTTTGCACACACGGGATCCATAACATTAACGCATGTATCGGGACATTCTGAAAACGTGGTTTTAAAAAAGAAAATACATAATTACATAAGTGAGAATACAAATAGATGGATAGATAAATAAATAAATGAACAAATGAATACATTAATGAAATTAATAGATATATATAATTTCAATACTCTAATAACTGAATAATGAATTAATAAATAAATAAACAAACACTAAGTATTAAAACTAATGAAAAAAGAAAACGAATAAACAAAAAAAAATCAAAAATGAATCGGACGTGATAGCCAATTATACAATATTAGAATAAATTTGTTCAACGGAAGTGTGTAATGTTTTGGAATAATAAACATTTATTTTGAGAAATACTTATTTTGTTTAGACTTTTGGACCAATTGCAAAGATCTTTATCAGCCAGCATTTACATCCACAGGCCTAATCGATATTATGTCATATGTACAGTGCATTCAATTCATCATGAACATTACCATTTGGAAACTTAATCAATACAACTAAAACTATATAACTAACAAACTAACTAACTATTAAACTAAATATTACGAACTAAACTAACTAACGATCGTATCCTCAGATCTCAAAACACAGTGGAATGGGTGACCGGTAAATTCGCACAAAAACATCTTGTCCACTTATTCATCAAATCATAAATCATAAATCATAAAGTGAGGGTAACACACAGGTGAGAACCGTGAGATGATCAACGTTTATACCTTGATTGAGGCACTGCCCAAGATGCGCCACCATCAGATCAGGCAGGTTGTAACGGCAGGAGATTTCACTGAGTACACATTCACTGGTGTAAGTCATGTTATCTGTCCCGCATACCTCGTTTATCTCAGGCGGACAGGTCGGGCAAGCTGGGAAAGAAATGTTGTCATGAAGAAAAACTATTATGAGACAATAATCCTCTATCATAATAAACCAAGAAAATATTGATAAAGAAGAGTATTTTGTAATGACTAAAGATATCCGATTACATGGATTGAAATTGTGAAGTTTGTATGTGATTTTTTTTCTTTCTTTATCATTTCTTTATTATTTTGGCAATATTAAATAATGTTTATAATATCAGACAAATATACAAAGTGTCTTCATTTAGACAAGGATGTAAAAAGGATGTAAACATCAGGGATATGAATCATAAAAAAAACGCCAAATAAAAAGAGTTCAATTGTTAGCACGTCAAAATGAATCTGTTAGCGCCAAGGTGTTAATTTGTTTAAATATTCAATTAAAAGTATGATTTTAGTAAAAACATAAAGTGGGCAATAAAAGATTATTTTCTTGTGGGGAAAACAACGACGCGAAAAGATGCATAACTTTGTTAAATTTGAGAAGGGGAAAGATTAGTGGCAAATCTTTTTTAAAAATATTTTCAAGAAATCTTCATTTCCAGAAAACTAAATAAAAGTGTTGTTTTTTTCAGCAGAGCGAAATTAAAGATAGAATTGCAGATACAATTAGTGCACAGGGAAGAACAGAATTGCATTATATTGGTTTTTTTCGATCACAGACATTAGACAAAAAAGGGCCTTTTATGAAAACGGAAGGCCATATACACACGTATGCGCCTTTTATTCCACGACTCAATTACGAAATGACAATGCAACGTACGATACTAGTCATTATTTCTTTTTTAAATTGTGCCCTGCAATTTGTAGAACACAATAGCAGACGCATATCCTCAATCAAAATCAAAAGATGAGAAAAGATGCAAAATAATTGATTTATTTTTTTAAAGGGAGAAAATAGAAGATGGGCGAGGGAAAGTGAAATAGGGAAGGATTCGAACCCCTCCTGTACCACCTAATCAAGTATCTGGTTAATTCGAATGTAACTCCACGAACAAACTGCTCCAACTCCATGATGTTGGTGCTTCCTTAATGTCTTGACTCATGACACACCACTACCTGCGATGTGATACGTGTATCTAACTTCCAACGTTTCGATTGTCAGACGTTTGCCTCTTTTTTTAAGTTATATTATTATGTTTTAAATGTTTAAAGTTATATTAATCGTGATTGGTCTGCAGCCAGCGCTCAAAACCCCCGTGAGCTACATAATCGCCCCCTTCAGGTTGCTCACGGGGGCGATTGCAAAATTAAAAATCGCCCCGGTGGAATTATAAAATAAAGATTATCTTTTCTGTTATAACTTCAACACAATATTGAGTTTCAATTTTCAAACCTTAAACCAATGAAATGGAACTAAGATTAGCGTGCAAGATTTCTCGTTTTATATGCCTATTATTACCGATTCAGCTCGCAGTGCCGCCGTCAGCAGTGGTTATAGGCCTACTGCGCCGTTAGTAGCGGTACGTGTGCACGCTGCCGCGCCATGTCTGCTGGAGCTGGAGGCGATCGCGCAAGGGCAGAAACATGGTCAGTTTTTCGTTGTCAGCAAATAATGAACCTCGACCAGTAAATCAATATTAGGGACTTTTAGATTTGCACGTTGAGAACGTGGACTGCAACGTGTGACCTCCTTTTAAGGCACTGCCAGTGCTTAAAAGGACGTCACATGTGACTGCCAGTGCCTTAAAAGGAAGTAACACGTCCACGCAAATCTAAAAGTCCCTATTGAGAAGAAGAGGAAGATGAAGAGAACAAGATGTCGTGGAATGATATGATAACATGGGCAGATCTACGGGGGGGGGGGGGTTAGGGGGTTTAACCCCCTCCTCCCACCCCCACCCCGACCCCCTTGGGCTGCGGGGGGAGGTGGATGCTGGAGAGGAGGACTACTAATCTATTTTATTTTTTTCAGGGGGCGGGGGGAAGTGAAGCAGATAACCCTAAGTTTTTGGTTGCTGCTTTATATGTAGTTGATAATGCATGATTAAAATAAAGAGAGAGAGAGAGAGAGAGAGAGAGAGAGAGAGAGCCACCATCGTTTTGCAATGGTTCAGGGTTCGTGTAATGTACATTTGAAACCATTTCTTAGCGTCTCAACCCTAAAAAAATAACAAAACTATTTTTGAGGAAAAGCATTATACTGAATTAAATATAGAATAATAGCTTTATATTGGATCATACTAATACTGATACGGGCTAAAGACAATGTGGTATTTGTATAGAGGTATTCCAAATGACATTCTGATAATCAACATTTGTTCTGGTATCATATGTATATACGCATAATACAACTGATCTTTATGATTTCTTAACGTGACATAGCTTCTTCTCCCTCTGCAAATAAAAGGATCATGCGACAAATAGTCATTGTGATTCAAATCGATGCGAGGATTTTTTTGAATAAGCAATGCTTTTCACCAGAATCTTCTTTGTAAAAACGACTTTTACAAATCTCAGCCATGCAAATCTGCCACTGTGTTGTAAGATCTCTTTCAGATTAGGAGAAGTGTATTCTTTAATGAGTATTTTACATTGAATGGAACGTCTCAACTCAGTAAGCATGGCTGAGATTTGTAAAAGTTGTTTTTACAAAGAAGATTCGGGTGAATAGCAGTGCTTATTCAAACAAATATTCGCATCAATTTGAATCACAATCATTATTTGTCGCTTAACCCCTTTTAATGACCTCGTTTTCTTTCTCGTTTGCAAGAGGAGAAGAAGATATGTCACGTTAAAGACATCATAAAGATCAGTGTTGAATGCGTATATATTGTATACACAAGCCAGTAACAGCTATGTAGCTTGTAAATTTGTAAGAGGGAAAATGCTGATTGAAATGATAATGATGAAATAGCAAATAATTGAGGAGTACCATAGGTACCAATTCAATGGATATTTGTATAAAAAAGAGCCCCCGTCAGTACTAAAAGAGCCCCCGTGAGAAGGCTCACGGGGGCTCTTTTTTGAGGGGAAGAGCCCCCGTGGACAAAAAATTAATTTGAGCCCTGTCTGCAGCTGATAAACACTCACAGCTTAGCGAATTTAGTGGGCATTCTCCAGCAAGAAGGACCTTTCTTGTATCATCCTTTGCCTTACAGGCGGCTATCTGGAAATGGCACAGCGACGGGTAGGTGATGTTCCCTGTACCGCAGATAGGAAGGTATTCCCTCGGACAGATACTGGTAGGAGGACACTGCCTTTGGCTTTGGGACAGCGGACACGGTCCACGGGATGACACAACCAGATTCCTGTCCTCTTGGCACTGTTTAACTAGGAGAAGGCACTCTGTTTCGTATGTCTCGCCATTCGAACCACATACGGTGGCGGATCCGTCAGCGGGACCAGCTGGGCAGTTGTCATTGCAGGGCGTGTCACCGCGACCAGGTTGTGGTGCTGGAGGGTGTGTTGGGCGTGGTTGATTAGCGGCAAGAGAACAGTTGGAAGTAAGATACAAGGCAGAAGAAGGAGTACGAAGGGAAAAAAGTGAAAATTAATTTTCAGTCTTAAGGGGGAAACAAGAGACGAAGTAAGATTGCTTGAAGCTTAATTAGAAAACAATTAATTTATTATAAACTGAAACAAGCCAATATGCGGTTAAACATAGCGGGAATCTGGAAGGCATTTAGTGGCAAAATAAATGGGGATACATTAATCGGCATGGTTTAGTGCGTTGTTCAAAGATTGTTTGTTTTTAGGATTTTCCGCAAGGGTGTATGACGTCAGAACAAATTCAATTGAATAATTATATTTTATTTGATAGTAGCTTAGCATTAAACTGATAAAAACACATAAAATCAAGGTGAACACAAACTTAAAATATCCGAAGCGGAAGAGAGAATGTTATTTAGGGTGTGGTATCTTTACTTTTGATCAATTATTATTAAAAATCATTAACCTCGGTAAACACCTTACTTAACATGTGAGTAGGATTTGCTTTCCAGCCTATGAATTGATTGATCAAAGTATTCAAACGTTGGTGTTCTTCCAACTTTAAAAAAACAATCTTATTTGGATTAACTTAACGAAAAGTGCTATTTTCAAGATGACGTGTGATGCGCGTGTTTTTTTTTTTTTTTTTTTTGGGGGGGGGGGGGAGAGTATTCCATGAAGAAAAAAAAGTGTAAACAGCTGAAACTGTTTACTGTTCCTCTAACGCCAACTCTCTCTCTCTCTCTCTCTCTCTCTCTCTCTCTCTTTCTTTTCTGTGCACTGTCTCTGTGTGTCTCTCTTCCTTGAGCGTTTCCATGTCTTTCCTCTCCGTATTAAGATGTATATCACTTTCTTTACTCTTCATCTCTCCCCTTTCCTTTCTTTTCTCATCACTTTTCAAATTACTATGAAAAGCGTTTGATGAATGGGAATCCCAAAGGCAATTATGGAAACATTACTATACTTACTGTTATTTCCACCAAAATCTCTCGGCGTTCTTCTCGTAATAGCGGGCGTTGTTAACTCTGTGGTAACAACAGGTAGCTGGGTTGTTCTAACAGTGACAATAACTGTTATTATAAAAGCAGAAAAAAAAATTCTTTTGAATATCGAAATTGAAATAAATTATGCAACTAGATGCAGCTAGTTAGTGTGTAGTCAAGACAAAGTGAGGCAAGCAACAAAGACAGTTGTGAGAATAATGCAAGAGACATAACATTCATCATACAAAAAATAGGATAAAGAGATGGTATACAGAAGAAAATTGATGGAAGAAACATGAAGGCAAACAGAAGCACATGATTAATCCATTGACATGTAACTCGGCTAAATGGCAAGAGCCAGGTCATTCTCTTTTATGAGTATTAGTATCGGGTGTTTTAAATTAAACAAATATATGCATTCTTGAAAAGACCTCTCTCTAGTTTACAATTTCAACATCATCTTCGTAACCGAAGGGATGGAGAAAGTGTTTCCATATAAAGTTGGAATAAATTGAAACTAAATCAAAGTTTAGATTGAAAACAAAAAGTTCACATTAACTACTTTCTTACGAAATTCAGTAAAAGGTCTTCGACAGCAGAATACGGTAAACATTTGCAAAGAAGCGAGAGTATACCCGAAAAACGGAACTTGGTTAGGAACGCCCGGGACTAATATGAGAAGTGCGTTTTTTCATTTCATTGCAATACAATACACAGTTCTTTCTATAATGACTATCACAGTAATCATTGCAAGAGTTGAAACAAATTTAATTATAATGTAAGTACCCTGTAGTAACATTCAAAAACTGTAGGCCCATTCTATTATTTCATCTCCCTATGCGGTATTCATACCAGGTGTTGTTGCTTGAGATGTCGTCGCAACAGGAGTGGTAACTTTTATCGCTGGTGCTGGCGTTGTAGGACTTGACTCGCTCACACAGAATCCTTCATTCCGGACTGTGATGCCCATGTTGCGGTAGCAGTTAACTCTCCTTAGATGACAACGGGATTCGTAGACCACACCGTCGCTGCCACAGACGAACGGCTGTCCGCTCAGGCATCGGAAGGCACAGGGGTCACGAGCAGGTGGTGGAGGTCGGACTGGCACAACTATGGTTGCATGCACATCAAGATGCAGAACGGAGGGATGTTATGTGGTGGCAACATGCAAGGAGGGAAGTGTATGTTATTAACAACGATGAAGTGGATATGATACGATCGAGTTGGAAGGACGAAAATTCAAATCTACATGTCAATTTGACTGTCGATCGCCACTGACCCTAACCTTAAACGCCTAAATAAATTCATGTTAATAGCTTGGTAGGAACAAATATAATATTATATCCTTTGAACATCACAAAGCATGCGAATGCCATGTCTGTGTGATAGGTTTGATAAGCAAAATATATTCCATGAATGAATTTAGAACCTTATATACCTTAATGTTGTTGCTTGACTGGAAGAACTTTGTTGACTTCTAGATTAGAAAATAAAATAATCTTTTTCTATTACCCATTTTTCATCCAATAGATGGCCTCTGTGACGAATTTGGGCTACAAACATTCGCTTTATTTTGCGATACATTCCGACTTAAAATGTAGAAACAACAAAAAGCTTGAATTCTATTTACTGAAAGATATAAGGTCATATCATTTTTGTTTTGGGGGGATCAGGTTAATATGTAGGAAGATAGACCACAGTGCATCTCACCTGGAGGTCTGGGGATTCGTCTGCATGACCCTCTTCTTGTGACCTGAATGCTTGGATTATCTCTGCGGTGTGAGCAGGCCGATATGGCTAGTTGGTACTCGCTCCTGTATGTGATACCGTTCGACCCGCACACTGGCCCAAAGTTGTTCCGACATCTTGCCAACACAAGGTACCGTTCACAAAACGTTTCATAATCTGATGAGTTGGAGTCCTCGCAGCTATCTTTAAGTGTAAGAGATATGACAATAAAATAGGCTTCATTATCTAAAATGTAATAAACATGGTTTTTCTCAGATGTGACCCTGTGTCTATGTATTTAAAAAAAAGAAAATAGTATTGTGATCAAAATTATGAATTTTGAAGTTTAACTTAATGTTTAGTGATTTGAAAAGAGGATCGACTATTATTTCGGTAAATCATTCAAATTCCAGATACAAAGTGCTGTTTCTGAAATCCATTTCAGCTCTTTCCGATACCACCATTTCATCTACTATTATATAGCTCATATAACCCCAAAAGAGATGATGTGGCGTTCCATATGTATGTATGTATATATACAAAAATTGCTTCATGGTTAATAAACTGATTAAGCGCTTGATATTTCCGGCAGAGGAGATGATGATTAATTCGAGGTTGTGGTTAGTTTAGACTAGTACCATGAGCATTATACATAAATTACACGAACAGGTATGTATGCCCATATAGTCACCATCATCATAAACATGACTTTCAAAGTATTACGAGGGGGGGGGGGTGGCCCCTCCTTCCTGAAAATCAACTTGCACTCTCAAAATTTTGTGAGCAAGCAAAGCGACCATTGCAAAGCGACCATAATGCATCCGTGCATAGCCACATTAATTGCAATTTCGTTATTAAAGAATACTTATATAGGTGTCGTATTTGAGTGGTTCAATCATTTGATACGAAATGTGAGGTCGTGGGTTCGAGCCCCGGCACGGCACTCATGCCTTCGAGTAAGGCATCCTATTTTCATTGCTTCTTTCCACGGTGTTTATTGGCTTCCCACTAGGATGCAAACGCGCCAGTAAAAAGGTAACATCTGCAATGCTCCCCAGGGAGTGTAGAATATGCGCTTTTATGTGCAGAATAGGTATTAAATCCTATGACCGGGGTAGTAATCATACTGTAAGCGCGTTGATCAGTCAACGGTAACACGCTTTATGATATATGTATGAAATCGGTAGTAGTAGTATATTTTTACTTTGAAATATCATAATTTGCTGCCGAAATATGAGGATACGGTAGCCTGTATTGTATTACTTTATAAAAATATAAAAAATTAAAAATTAAAAAAAAAAAAAAAAAAAAAAATCGATGAAGAGGTCCCTTACGTCACTATTGCCGCCGCGTTATACTGAAAAGCAATAGGCCTACAAACCACATGATCTTGATTAACATAATACTCTATAATTTGTAAAAGCATATTAAACCTTGACCGCCTAGTACATAAACGACAGTTGTATATAATTATTATCAATATTTTCATAATCTTAATAGATATGCATTCTTCTGGCGCGTTATGACAATATTTTCGTTTCACGTCTGACGGCACAAGGATACAATTTGTCATGTGTTGAAATGGGTGGGTACAATGAATATCTCTTTCAAAGTAGTGCAGGTGCGGATTGTTCGTCGCATCTTTCTTCATACACCGACTTCAATGACCGTGTGCTAGTGCAAGTGCATACTCTATACAATCGTCGGCATCATGCCATATACATGTAACCTGACGAATTCTCGTCTGAGAAAAACAGGATTCTGTTTTAAAAATCCAATTAGATACTCTAACATGTCAGAATTGATTATGTAACTAAGTTCCACTTCCACTTGCTATTAATTTACGCTTCCAGATTAAAATGTAATGCCAAAATCTCTGCTAAACAATGCTGCGACTTCTCCGACTTCTGCGACTTTATTTGATTAGTTCATGAACACGACACACATGCATGCCACTGCCAGTGACATGCGAGGCTGCACCTGATTTAATGTAATGTCTAAAGCATTGTCATTTGAGCATTATTTGTGTAGACAGCATTTTGGCTATTACATTACCTTTAGTTTCTTACGTTTTCTGCTTCAATAATGCTTCTGAACTTTATTGATTTCATTGAGCGCTAACTTTGCTAAGACGACATTGTTAATAAATTATGATACATTATGATAATCATATGGTCACCTCTAAAATTGCTTTAAAATTGCCCTGCTACATTTTTAAACCGAGTTCCTATAACACTAACCCTGGACCTAACACGTTACCTTATCCTAACCCTATACCTTAACCTAATCTTATCGTAAAACGCAATTGCTCCCCCTAACCCTACAGTATATCTGTTATACGAAATAAATCCAGGTGCAATTATACCGGAGAATACGTCGGAGCACTCCTTGATAAACATGCATCCCCCACTCCTTTGGTAAAACTGAATCAGATTGAGAGAGGATGGTTACGAAGTGAATGATTGCTTGATTGTAATCACCTTGTGATCAACTGAACATCCGTTATCTTTCTTATTAAATGACCTTGTTTCAGAAATTCATGCCAATATGTAATTGAACTTCCATAAATGATCGATACTCCTGTCTGTATGATGGTAAACAACAGGAGTCCGAGCAATCTAATACTATTATGATATTCCTTTCTTTTCATTGAAGGCACATGCTCATCGCCTGCCTGATACGGAAACAAATCTTATCTATAAGGCGCTATAGCTCAGTTGGTAGAGCAGTGGTCTCGTATTTCGGCGACCCGGGTTCGAAACCAAGGCGGTGCGCAAGTGCCCTTTGGTAATGCATTACTTCCCATTACCAGGTCTCTCGGAGAGGACCTAAAACCGTCGATCCTCTGGCTGCTTATAACAAGCATTTACTATGCTCTCTTAGCAGTCCGGTAAAATAACCACTACTACTACTATTACTTCTACTATTATAAATCTTCTTACAAAATGTTCTAATTTTTGTTTGTTCCATGAGGCATTTATGAATAGAGTAAAATTATGAGATAAATTAATGTATTAATCGAATCTATTTAGAGTTTATTCGAGAAAAAAAAACGTTTTTTAAACAAATTGAGCGGAGATAGGTACAATCATGACAATAGATAAACACGAGGACAGTGGAATTGCATCCGTGTACACAAAAAAAACACACACACACACACACACACTTACGCACGCGCCCACACCCCCAGTATATGCTTCAATACTTTGCTGCCTTTATACCATGCAAGTAAACTCGCTGTAAACACGTCATCAATAACGATTTAATTCAACCAATGGTCCTAAATGTTATCAAGATTACCAAACAAGATAGTTGAAAAACGTTGGTGCACTCGAATATTGGCGAACATGATGGTCTGCCAGCGGTATATAGTACTGGCCAACATGAATTAACCTAGATCTAATATAAATAGGTATCGCAATGGACAGTGCCAGAAAAAGGCAAATGTTGTTGTATGTTCCAGCGACATTAACGAGCTACCAACAAGAAGTGTTCGGTTAATTCAGTGATTACCGGCATTAAGCTACTATATTCTATTTTATTTCCAGTTTTATCTGACAGTCATATGTATAACAGGTAAATACTTTTGATCCATCTTCTTAATTTCTTTTTATTTCTATGTCTCTTCCTATATCACCGTGAAAAAGGGTATTTCGACCTACCGTCTTCACTTGAGTCCGCCGTAACCCGAAATGATGCTGCGTAAATGATGCACATGAATACGTTGAAAATGTACGTTAAGTCCATTGCGTCTCTTCTTTGGTTCAGTTTATATGTAAACAAATTACATTAGATTCTCTCTTCGTAGTTGTCTTTATCTTGCATCACTTGCTTCACCTGCAAAGAAAATAAAAGAGAGATGCATTTTAAATGACACCAAGAAAATATGTACAAAAGTTTAAAACGTCAATAGAGCAAACGTCCCAAATTCTTAACTCCGTAATATGTTTATATAAGCCTTCTTACATAAAACTCTAGAGATGCTCTTTGCTCGTCCGAGTTGATTGACTCTCACCAAGGGATTTAAAGGAGAGTCCGCACCAGGTAGTTCCAACATCTATGGTTCAACAGAAACTAAGGTGTGTGCTGCTCTGAGAGTAGAATGCTTAGTATCCCATGACGAGTGAGCAAGCTACTTCACCCAAGCCTTAGTAACCGTCACGACGAATATACCTTGTTGCTATGGTTCTAAAATACTCGAAAAGCAGATTGTGGATTTTAGAAAAGTGGGGTAAAGGGAGGGATGATAGGTATAGTTTTGTATTGTTTCCGGTTGAGCTCACAAGATACAATACCAGGCCAATTGCATTGAGAACAGATAGGTCAATGCTGGTATGTTGCCGCTTCCCACAAAAGCCCGATCCTACAGATTCATTACCTCGACGCATCACAAGAAAAAAAAAAAAAAAAAAAAAAATTCAGAGGGATAGGGCGAATACTGCGTAGAAGATAATTAACTAATAATTTAACTATGCGCATAAGATGGCCATGAGTTAAAAAGTATATTTAATTGATGAAAAGGAACCTGTTAAACACACTTACGTACAATTTGAAGGACATCAATTTCGAATTATAAATGTGGCAAAATTTCTGAACATTTATGAAAAGCGAGATAGGGCGAATATTGCGTAGTACATGTAGATAATAAACTAATAATGCAACTATGCGCATAAGATGGCCATGAGTGAAAATGTATATTTTATTAATGAAAAGGGAACCTGTTAAACACACTTACACACTTACTTTGAAGGACATCAATTTCAAATTATAAATGTGGCCAAAATTCTGAACATTTATGAAAAGTGAAGGACTTAATTTGTTCTAAAGCCAACAAAATTACCCATTTCCATGGTAGCCAATTTCCAGAGACCGAGATTACCCCGTTTGGGTTTTTTGAGCTTAGGACCAAAATTACTAATTATTCTCCTTCCGCTATTCGACTCAATCAACGTGGTTTCGCGTGTCACGTGACTTTAGAAACATGTACAATACAAAACCGTTTATACTGGCAGGCTGTTTTCGTCAGAAAGAGTCGATGGTTGTGTCAGTTTGTTAAAGTAAAACAATTAAGATGCAATTAAAGAACATCAGAAGATTCCTACCAGGTGAGGAAATCGCCGGTGATCGCGTTGTTCTCGCAAGTGCAGGAGGAGAAGGGCCAACCTGTTTCCAAAACTTAATTTAATTTAGATCACAGGATAACCAATTAACAACCTTCTGTAATGCTTTTTAACTTTCATTTTCAAGTTTTCATCACCATTTAAAATAGAATTGATGAAATTGTGTTTCAATCTTTCAATGACATTAAACATTAATAATGCCAATATAATGAAAGAAAAAACTGTTTCCAGAAAGTTGTGAGGCTTTCCGAAAATGAGTACATTTCATGATTGGCTTTAAGTTTCATTAACGTTAAGCTCACTTGGCCACAACCCAAGGAAAGTTTTGTGATTAAGACTTGCTAGGTATGACCTTAACAATGAACTTGAAGTGTTCTCCTAAGTTATATACCTGATGGTTATGAATCAGACGGTTGAAATTCACGCACAGAGTAGCATTACCATGGTAACGTTCATGAATGACTAAGTGATAAATTATGAATGAGATCGTAATTAGAAGGTAGGTAATTTGAACATAGCAATGGCATATTTGTTTCTTGGTTTGCTTCTTTGAAAGTTTGGCAAGAAGTGATCAAATATCATTAAAAAAGCAAAACAACCATCTTCTCAATGCATGATTTTCTTTTCAAATTAACTTTATTTTTGATAGTTTTTTTTCTAGTCACAAAAGCAGCACTGGGCATACTGGAAATATTATTAAACATGACCTGTTTACCAACAGGTGAGTCAGAGTGTTTTGAATACATTTTATTGGTGAATATTATTGATTGTATCGAAAATCAGGTCTTATGCACTCAGGATGCTTGATGATGTCATTATTTCCGACAAGTTTCTATCATCATCACTACCGGAATACAGGAAATTACACCAGCACGGTCAGTGTTCAAAATGTAATAAGCTCATCGAGAGAATAAGACAGCCAACTTGCTGTTAAATAAAACATGTCACATGTACAAATCTTTCATCCAAAAAATTACTAAAATTTGCTTTAAATGCCTTAAGATATCAGTAATAAATAACTTCCATACATTCTAATTTATCTAAAGAAATAGTTGATTGAATGATACTGCACTATTGTGATATCATCCGCAGTCTTCGTTTTTGGATAATATTGGATAATAGCCAATATGCATCTAGCCATGTTTTCGAAGAGTTCGTCTGCGTCGTTAATTTCATAAACTTGTAGATCAGGAAGAAGGAGGAGTGATCGATTCTCCGATAAGACACTCCCCAGTGATTTGCCATTGGGGTCAATCAAAACTGACATTATACCATAGACTTACTAGACCAAGGTGTATATCTGCAAGGGCGTATCAGGCAACTATTAGTCTACACTTCATTGGTGACGGAAATCACCTTTAAAACCATGGACTTACTAGTAAGTCCATGTTATAACGGAGTAAAAGTTCGACAGAACATGGACTCCATGGACAGACTAAGGTTCAAATTGAACCTCATGGGGAGCATCACCAAGTACCCTGCAAATGTGCACCTGAAAGTTGGAGAAGGTGTAGAATGTAAGAATTGAACCCTTTAAAACTTCACGTTTTGGTGGTACTTTACTATTGTTTTCTATTGCTATTTGCTTAGAATGCTCTTGACTTTACCCAAATACTTTTTACGAAGCTTTACCAAGAATGCATGAGGTCATTGAGGTGCATAAAGAGTGGCTCTTTCAGTCACGGAACCTACAATTAACGTCTTATCCGAGGGACGATGTGTTTTCCACTCTTCCATAGCCTTTGTCTACTGAGCATGTGAGAGGCACACACTGTCAAGACATGCACGTTTAGTGGATTCGGAAGCACGGTGTTTTGATTCGACAGACAGGTAATCTTCCTACTGAGCCAACTGCCCCAACCCCCCCCCCCCCCCCACCCAAGTTCACCCATATTCATATTTCTGTGTCATGGGGAACTTTCTTCCGCTTTCTTAAGACAGGTGATACGTGACAGGTGAATATTTAAAGATACGATACATATCCCTTCGTGGAAGGGGAATGTTCTTCTAGAAATACACGGCAAGCTATTGGAAGTATGGTGTAATACGTGATAACGAACCATTATCATATCGCATAACGCATTATGATATCATCAGTTTGTCCTACTATCTCAAAAAGTCCTGCAGAGTGCATACATCTAATTGAAACGAACCCACTTTGCTAGATACCTGTAGATCACTTCATTGTCTCCTGTCCTCCCCCTCCCCTCTTAATAATCACACAACGTCCCTATTTCTAAATGCTGACGCCTTCTCCGTCGACACCACCACCACCGCCACCCCTGCCATCAATAATGAGTAGATCATGGGCGGAACATAGCTGTGTCATCCCTATGACCCTGTCAAGCTCGTACAACCATATCCCATGTTAATGGCCCGGTCCCACTGGCCGATGGACACAACACGTATGCATAAAGGACACAGCAGACGAGCCAAATTTCGCGGGTGGCTCCATCCGTTTTCATCCGCTCCAGAAATGGACAAAATTTGCGAAAATTTGCGAAAACAGAACGGAAAATAACGGACGTGGGTAGTATGTAGCGGGGATGTTAAACGGATGTTCATCGGAAGCCTAGCAGATGAAAGCGGATGGAAGTGGATGACAGCTTTGAATATTTTATATACGAGATGCATACGCTTACATCCTTTCTATTTCCGTACTACTAACGATATATAGACGTTCCGTGTACCTTATCTCTCCTCCCTCTTTCCGTTTTCAGCTGCAGCGGATGTGAGTTGCGAGGATGCCCAGAGGATGCAGAGAGGATACAGCGGGCGTTTAACGGATGATAACGGACATAGAACGTTTGTTGCTCGTATTTGTCGCGGATTTACATCGTACACGGCGGAAGTTCATCCGTTCTAAAAGTTTTGTGCAGCTCAAAACTTTTTGCGCAGATGAAATCACAGTGGACGGATGCTCGATGGATAGAGCGTATGAAACACGTATGCAATGAGTACACAACGGAAGCATAGCGTTTTCCAACGGATGGCAAGATTTTTTTACGCTTTACATCCTCTTTGCATCCGTAAGTGCAGTGGGACCGGGCCTTAAGGTACACACATACAATGACAACAACAACATTAACAACAAAACGTTCGAGTTTGTGGGTTTACAACACGAGGGTTAATGTACTAAATGAACTTTTGATCATGTTGTGGAGTCATGGTTGCGGCCAATGGTTTGGCACTTCTTCTGCGAGGAGAAACAGGCTTATCTCAATAATCATAATCATCAGAGATTACCTCTCGGATCAATTAAGGCTGCGTCGCTGAAAGATGAGGGTAACAGGAATGTTTTTAAAATAAATGGTGATTATACCTGGCTGGCAATACCCATTAAACAATTGTTTATATATTTTTTTTTATTGATCTAACCTGATTGGTGTGAAGCATATTTTCAATACCAAAAGAAATACAAAATAATGACAATGTACAACAAATTAAAAAAAAGAAAAAAAAGAATAGCAACTTAAAACACCTTTTAGCACCTTTAAAGTTGGTTTAACTTTTACCTGAACATGTGAATTATGAGGTATGTCGGCACTTACTGTACTATGAAGTGGAGTGGCCTTACTCCAATCCTTGTGTATATGTTCGAGTTAAAATAAAGTTGAACTTACCAGAGCTTTATGAGATATGTCCTCCCCGTCTGAACGATCAATAGGTTTATTGTTCTGTGTATCACCAGATGAGTTACACGGAATCCATAACGTACTGGCATCATTTCATGAGAGACAGATATGACACCACATCCCGTCTTCCTGATAACATCGAAACCACATTCCGCGCTAGCTACGAGATTGGTCAACCAATCAATAAGGGGGTCTCCCAATCGAGAAAAGGAGGATAGTTCTTAGACTCAGTGTCCTTTGGTAATTCTTGAAAGTCACCCTATGTTTACATGCAAAACCTGATCATATGGTAAAATGCAATTCTTTGCTGAACTTGCTTAACTGCTCAGTTCAATTTAAACACACGTCTACGGTGCACGCTCAGCTCAGTCAAGGAAATAAAAAGTGACCATGCATCCGTCATTGAAGGTACAGAAGACAACACACAGCCGGGAGTTAGTCCCTTGAGACACACTAACCGAACGATCAGCCAAAGTTTAGATTTAGGAAATCTTTCAAACTCTCTTTCGGCGGGAAACTACGAAGGAGAAAACAATGACCTCTTCGATGGTTTGTTTTCAATGTAACTTTGGTTTTGACGAGCCAAGAAACCACTGACAGATGTCATTTTATTGCAGCATCGGGTTTACAGCATGTTGACTAGCATCCAAAGTAGTCTGTTGACGCAAACTCTAATTTCACACATAAATACAATTCCAAAAACCTTGACTTGTGCCTAGTTTTCCCAGTCTCTGGCTTTGTCCAGAGCAACCTGAAGTACAGAGCCTATGGGGTGCGGTATATCTTGTAGTCTTCATAGTATTTCATTTCAGCCACTCTCTTACACATTAAGACTGGCAAGGGTTTTGCCTGTAAACTAGATTTAAGGAACGTACTTGAGAGCGTTGTATACGCAGTCATGTTTACCTGAATTTGTTGGCAGCGATAGAAACTTGAACTTCCTGTATGTATTTCCTGTGTTTTTAATCAGGGGAATTGGTTCTCATTACACCTACATCGAACTTGGAATTCATTCTGAGTAAAAGCACTTGGTGGTTTATTGTAGTCTGATTCCTTCTGTGATTGCACTAATTCGCTTAATTTACTTTTTTTTCGGAGGGTTTCTGATTCAATGGTCCTTCATATTAGTTAATTCTAGTAACAAGCAGGGTGGGGGTGGAATTTAAGGTATTTTAAGAGTGAAATATTTAGATCAATGATGATTATTATTTAGGGATTTTTTTTAAAGCAGGGAACGTCGAATATTACGTCAGAATTTATAGGCACTAATTCATAAGGATGATCATGATATTACATAAAATGATGAGTTATTTTTAAACGATAAATAGTCACATGATCATATTAAAGGTAATACAAAGTTTTGGGAAATTTAGAAAATTGGGTGGATAGTGAATCTTTACAATATTTATATATTTGGATGCCCCTGTAGATGTATTATAAGCACTAGAAACTTTAGCCCCTAAAACACTTCTGCTTTCGAGAAAAAATGAATATAAAAATTTACCGGTGCTCCCGGTAAATTTTGATGAATTTCAAATAGCGCCTAGCGGCCGTGCAATGGTAGCTGCGACCATGAAAATCTCAGAATATGTAGTTGTGATATATAATTTCCAAACGAGAATAGCCAATTTGTCGTTTTTTGTCAAGAAACATTGTTTCATAACTTGATTAATATCTTGACCTTAAGAGGGAGCTATACAACATAAAGAGTTTATTATTTACAATTTCAAAACTCTAGACACGATTTCAACCGCGGCAACGATCACTGAATATTGTAGGATCGCATATGCTTCCAATATGTTCATTTGAACCAAATTCATGACCTAATACAAAAACTTTGTATTACCTTTAAGAAGAAAAATAAATTTAAACTATTCTACAATCAAACACTTAATACTGGGATATGAATATGCAAAGCTGTCTTAGAGCCATCAACGTAGATTTTTATTTGTTGGTATACACCCATTGATTGGGGCAAAACAAGAACCCTAAAAAGCTCGAGAACACCAGCGTTTTATGATTATTCTATATTTAGTGGTAATACAGTTTTATATGCATATAACTATATAATATAACTACACTGTTGGTCATAATGATGGAATAATTATTTTTACCCCAATTTATGGAATAATTTAGTATTTTATTGAATAATGATTTGTGAGTGTTTGTTTTGCGTGACTGCTAAAGCATGTGTATGCTACTATGCTTATCAACTAGGGGACCTACGTCCTTAAGTCATAACTGACATTAATGAGGATTAACGCCTCATAAAAGGGCACTTATATAGCACATCGACACGGTTTTGATCCTGGGGCTCACAGTAACGACTCCATTGCTTAGTCACCGAACCATGACTGTATACAGCTGGGGCTAGGGTACGTCGCCGCCCCCACAAATACAAAAAAACAAAGAAAATGCAATAAATGATCAATATTTCATTGCTTTTTGCCCCGACCCCAAACATAAACAAATCCTCTATGTGGGCATGCCTTGAAACATAATGCATGGCCCTACAGAGGAATTTTTGATTTTGGGGACTTGGGGAAAATGCAATTAATTATTGATAATTTATTGCATTTTCTTCTAAGAAACAGAAAGAAGAAGATGATCTGAAGAAGAAGGGCAGTAGGGAAGAGGAAGGAAAAAGAAGCGGAGGAGGAAGAGGGGGAGGAAGTAGAAGAAAAATAAACTTTTATCACATATTTGGACTAAAGCCAACTAGATGCTCCAAGAAAAACACTTTGCAAATACTCGTCCTTGACAAAGTTAATGCAAGATGTAAAGATGTAACATTTGGACACGACGCTACATATTATGAATGGGGACATATGTTTGAAATCAAAACATATGATAACTTAAAAATAATCAAATAGTGCACATAATTACAGGGAAAGCAGGTTCATAAGAAATTATTTCGTCTATTATTATTGTATTACATAATTTGCATGGACTAAAAAGGTTGATATTGGGCTCGCTAATCAATGGACTATCACAAGCATGGTTTAATAAAAATTAATCAACTTCTACAAAATTAGCGGCCAGTGACCTTTGGAGTCGATCTAATGACAGGATCTGTAATACCATTTTATTCATAAATCTTCATTCGATTTCAGTATGTTTCACTTTTTTGAGGTGAATGAAAAAGGGCGTGTTGCCATAATCAGAGATCTTACTCAACAGACTATACAGTCAATTTTAATCACTCGGGGCGGCCCCTCCCCTAGAAGTTACGCCCCTGTCATCGACCACCCATGACTACCGTTTGAGCATTTGTATTTGGGTGAACTTTCGGGGTAAAATGTCAGAATTGAAAGCAAGTGTTAAATGATGTAAAAAACAGATCCAATGAAAATTGAATCATATCCTCAATTGACTAGTGTATTGGTATGATTCATTCCTGTCATTTTTTTTATAAATAATAGAACAAATTCCAAGTGGAGTGTCCCAGCCTTTCCCTTTATGACGTCATAATTTGGTCACGTGATGATTTTGATCGTTGACGAAGATCGCGCTGAATCACAAAGGATTTAGATTTGATCTAAGGCAGAAGTTTTATAGAGGAAATGGCATGACAGAGGGAACTTTATAGAGGGTTACTGAGAATACGAGACAGAGAATAAGGGGGAGGGTAGAGAGAGGGGAAAACAGATAATAAAAAAAAAGAGAGGACGAGAGAGAGAGAGAGAGAGAGAGAGAGAGAGAAGGAGAAGAAGAATCAATATAATTGATTTTGATTTTATTTTGATTCGACAGGGACTGGGATTTATTTTCTTCATATAGCAGGACATCACTCAAAAACGGGTAATTGTCAAGAGGACAAAATAAACCGACTGAATAGGACAGTAGAAAATCTCGATCCAAAAAATATAGAGTGATATAGGCCTATTTAAGCTACGGCAACTTCAAGCAGTGAATGATGTCAATAATAAACATGATGATGATGGTGATGGGGCGGTCATCTGATGAAACTTAATGAGAAAAAATGCATGTTACTAATTATATTACTACTACTGGTGATAATCATGGCATAAAAATATCAACAACGAAAATGACACTACTTAATATTAATGATGTCAATTAATAATAATAATAATAATAATAATATAATAATGATGATGATAACGATAATAATAATAATGATGATGATATCAATAATAATAATGATAATAATGGTACTATACTACTACTACTACTACTGATACTACTACTACTACTACTACTACTACTACTACTACTACTACTACTACTACTATTACTACTACTACTACTACTACTACTACTACTACTACTACTACTACTACTACTACCACTACCACTACTTCTACTACTACTACTAATAATAATATTCAGCTTTTATATAGCGCTTAATACAAATGCCTCTAAGCGCTTTATAGATATACTACTAATACTATTTCTTTTTCTTCCACTTCTACTACCACTTCTACTAATATTAATAATGACAATAGTAATAATTATAACAATAATAATAACAATAGGTGTTAAAAAACTAAAAATTAATAATATAAAATTAAAATTATCATCTCCATTAAAATAGGCAGGATAATTATGATGGTGAAATTGTTAATAATAGCAACGGTTATACTCGTGATTCTATGAATAATTCAAACAGTTCTTGTTACTTTACAAACAGAGAAACAATAATTCTTATTGGGTTTTTATTTACACAATTTCCAATATGATTATTGGCCTACGTAGGCTTTATACTTGTATAAGACAAAAGCGTATTGAACAAAAAAATACTCCTCACAAAATAAAATAACCAATGAACAATAATAACTACACAATCCTTTGTGGGCAATTCACTTGTGAACTTTCAATGACATCAAAGTTATTAGCAATCGGATTTAGCTGTTTTTGGCCTGTCTGTTTATTGTTAATACTTATTTGAGATATCATCAGTGAGTCATGTTTAATGAAGGTCTCTCAGCTGTGCTAGTATTGATCTGTCTCTTACTTCCGACAATCAGTCCTATTTTGTATTAGTCTAGTTTAGGACTTGTTAGATTGTCATTTAGTAGCTGCACTGTGCGACACATACTGCTGTTAGTGTTACAAATATTGCTCCCTAGACTAACCGAATCCCTAACTATAACCATGGTCCCAACACTATACCTAACATTCACCCTGAACCAAAACCTAGCCTAACCTAAATACCAATTGCAACAACAACCCTAAACCTATATTTTTAGACGAAAAGAAATAAACCGATTTACTAAAATATTCGAATTGTACTTGTTAGCGAATGTTGTTCTTGACAACCTAAAATCTTGCCTGAGGATTGCCCGACATAACAATAAGTAATATATGCAGACGTGGCTCCAAGTATTGTAGTGCATTCATTAAAACGTTAATGGAATACCTCGTCACAAGGTCCCGTTATGCATTATAAGCCTTATTGGAGACTAAAGAAAAGATTACCAAGATCTACTGTGGCTTATCATTCGATGGAAGTTGCTGGGACTATAATACTTAATAGTAATTTATTTACATCAAATTAATAATTTCAGTGATTTATTGTTTCTTCATAATTATTAAGATCACATGGAAAACAAAAATTGTTGTATTAAGAGGGAATACTAAATTGTCCATCATGTGACGCTATTCAGAAATAAAAATATTGAAAAGAAAAGTTGAATGGCTCGGTAAAATGTGATGATGGAATGGCAGCAAAATTGAGACTATGATATGTGTGTATCGGTTATTTCTGGTGAAGGCCGTAATATAGCCCTTTGATAATCTATAGCCTTCGTTCAGAGTGCAAGGCTGTGCTGGATAGAGGGAGGAGGGCTGGGGGTGTCGACCCCCCCCCCCAATTAACAAATTAATAATAATCGAAATTTTACAGGGTATGGACAAATTCAATTAAA